AAATAGACTCCCATAATCAATGTTATTTAATGTTAAGATCACTAGATAGCTTAGGCTATAATATCTGGGTAACAAATGTTAGCCACATCCTGTTTCAATATGGATTTGGTTAAGCTTGGCTAAGCCAAGACATTGGAAATGTGGAATATTTTGTGTATCTATTCAAGCTAAGGCTAGGTGCTAACTTAAAACAGTTTTGGTTCTCATCAATTAGTGAATCTCCTAAATGTATATTTTACAAGGAGTTTACAACTTTCTTAAATGTTGAAAAATATTTGTGTTGTGATATCCCTATGCATTTAAGAATTGCTATATCAAGGTTTGGATGCAGTAATTTTAATACTGCTGTTGAATGTGGCAGGTATAATGGAATTGAATATAACGAAAGGCTATGTCCTTTATGTAAACCAGACGCCAGCATGATATTGAAAATGAATATCATGTACTATTTATTTGTAATGCCTATGATATACTTAGAAAGAAATATATAACAAAGTTCACTAAAGAACCACTTACTCATTACTCTGTCGTAAATCTTTTGCAAGGCAAAAATGATGCTGTCATATACCATGTTGGCCTATATTTATACCATGTACAGAAATTGATAAACTCCAGGACATAGAGCTGCAAGGTTGTTTTGCGCACCCACTAAACACAATGTCAGTCTGATTGTATTATGGGCGAGGACCTTTTTACTGAATGAATACTGTCTGTCTGTCTGTCTGTCTGTCTATACGATAAGTAAAAATAAGAGATGCACATTTTTGGTATGGATTAATTTTGTGTGATTTGTTTGTTTGCTATTGTTATGTTTTTAACGCTGGCTTTGGCAATTACGATGTCCATTTCTGGAGAAGACAATCCAGTGATATCTATTATATTCTTCAAGAGATATAGGGATACTCCAAATCCACTCAAATTTGTTAGCGATATTAGTTTTGCCTTTGGGCACTTTGAACTTCATCAAAATGTTGTGAATGTTGGTACAAGTGTAATCTTATAATCACAGACTGTAGAACAGTGTGAAGGACTGACCACTGCACTCTGACTTCTGACAGTTTCCGTATTCTTTCTCTAGCCTGTATACATTCAAGTAGACTTCTCATAGTTAGTTAAGGTGTATGCACTGCATGCACGTAAACTAAAATGTATAACTTGCAGAATAAACGGTGTGGTAGTCTGGTGGTTAAAGCGATCTATTGTGTAATGAAGGCATACAATGCGTGAAGTCCATTTCTGGTGTCCCCCGCTGTGATGTGGCTTGAATATTGCCCCAAATGGCGAAAAACCTTACTCATTCACTCACTCTTTTGCATTAGATCACGGGTGTCTAATTGGCCAGTAGCAAGATCATGTTGCAATTCAATTATATTGATTAAAAGTTGATGTCTACATGTCAAATTATTTATCTAGTGAGTTTGGTTTTACTCTGCACTCAGCGGTGGTCCGTAAATACTCGAGTCTGGACCAGACAACCCAGAGATCAACAGCATGATCATCGATCTACGCAACTGGGACACAATGACAAGTGTCAACCCAGTCAGCAAGCCTGACCACCCGATCCCGTTAGCCGCCTCTCACGAGAAGCATGGGTTACCGAAGATCAATTTGCTATATTCTATGCTATATGATCATGCTGTTGATCTCTGGGTTGTCTGGTCCAGACTCGATTATTTACGGACCACCGCTGAGTGCAGAGTAAAACCAAACTCACTAGATAAATAATTTGACATGTAGACATCAACTTTTAATCAATATAATTGAATTGCAACATGATCTTGCTACTGGCCAATTAGACACCCGTGATCTAATGCAAAAGAGTGAGTGAATGAGTAAGGTTTTTCACCATTTGGGGCAATATTCAAGCCACATCACAGCGGGGGACACCAGAAATGGACTTCACGCATTGTATCCCTTCATTACACAATGCAGTGCATACACCTTAACTAACTATGAGAAGTCTACTTGAATGTATACAGGATCTTCAGGGTGTCATAAACATCAACAACAGAAATGGACTTTCATCCGACTAGTGGACCCTTCCCCATGACCGAATATTCCAGTGAAGTCTGAACGCTGTCGGTCATGCTGATGATAGTTTACTGGTGTATTTTAGACAATTGATGACAACCAACATTTCTTGCAAAAGCAGTCAGTGACATGCCAGCATGCCAGCACACCTGTATATCTAAAATCCATGCATGGTGCCTCGTACAAACAAACATGATTGTAAAAGATTTTATATTTCTGTCATTGTGAAAAAATTATAGGTGTTGAGATACTTTTTTCCATGTGTATATTTCTGGAAAGCTCTGAAGAATGCTTTCGTTTGATATACATCCATTCTCTTCCCACAGAGGTTACGTGTCATATCTTCCTACGAACCTCTGTTCTAATACAGCCATATTTCCCGGTTCTCGTAAAATCACCTAGCGGCAAAAAATCGCAACTCAAATTAACTCCCTTTTTTTCTATCCAATCAGAACACGTGTTACATCGACTTAGATCCAGCTTAAATAATACAAGCAAATGTGGGGCAACAAATATTCCTCCTCTGCCGGGGACTTGTGTTGATGTGACACACAAGACATTTAATGGCTAGCCATTCCGTTGTGAAAGAGGGCGATGGAGACGCCATTGATCCGTCATTACATGACTGAGGTCTGTCTACAAGAAACGTTTGCGCATGGCGCAGGGGAGGAGGTTCTAGTTATCCCGAAACATCCGGAAATTACCGAGGCCTTGCGAATGATTACTTTTGAAACAACGTCGCTGATTGCACAACTAAATCTGATTGCAACCAATCACGAATCCTGAACACTCGCACCATGAAAGGACCGTATTAGAACAGAGGTTCGTAGGCAGATAGGACCAGTAACCTCTGTGGGAAGAGAATGATACATCATGAGACAAAATAGGCATGCCAAAATCCCAAAGAACACAAGGGCATAAACGTGCTTAAGACCGCCTATGACCTTTGGGTGGGTGCTCAACCACTTTTGGGAGACTTTCTATATAGGATAGATTCTGAGTGTAAATCAGTTGAAATGAATTCTGTAGCAATGTGTGTTGGGTTTGGTCAAACTTACTTCCCTCTTGAATGCCTTAAGTTGATTTAGGGTATGTGCACTTCCTACATGGGTATCATTTCTTTTGTTTCAGACCAAAATGAAACCCACTATCTCATTTGTTCTGATGAAGAACTTTATTGGTACCAGTATGGCAAGTCGAGAAACATAGCAAGCAAACGGTTGAAGCAAAGCATAAAACCATCTGAAGTGGACTACGTCCATTCTACGAACACCCTCTATTTCACGCTTGACAGTGATGTGCTTGTTTTTTCCGTCATATCAATAGGAAAGATTGGTCCCATGAAAGTAATGCTTGAAGGTAAGCAATGGAGGGAAAATATTTAACCTAACCTTTAATGACTTTGAATGTGGTTTCCGAAAAAAACGAAGTCCCATTGACCATCTGGTGCGTCTGGAATCATTAATCAAAAACTCCATTGTCAACAAACAGCATACAGTATCTATCTTTTTCGACTTAGAAAAAGCATATGATACAACGTGGAAACATGGTATCCTAAAAGATTTACACCAGTTTGGATTGAGGGGTAGACTACCTCAATTCATATCTCAGTTTTTAAACAACGGACAATTTCAAGTTCGGGTGGGTTCAACACTGTCTGACTATTTCCACCAAGATCAGGGCGTCTCCCAAGGCAGCATCCTGTCTGTCACACTCTTTAGCATCAAAATTAACGGCCTCACTAACGTTCTGAACAGTTGCGTTGATGGGTCCCTTTTCGTGGATGACTTCAATATTTCATGTCGTGGTAAGAACATGCACACAAAAGAAAGGCAGCTACAACTATGCCTTAACAAAATCGAAAAATGGGCCAATGAAAATGGTTTTAAGTTTTCAAAATCCAAAACAAATTGTATTCACTTTTGTCGTAAATACAAACCACACAAGGATCCAGACCTTACTTTTGATGGTACTCCCATCAAGGTAGTAGAAGAGGCCAAGTTCCTTGGACTCATATTCGACCGCCACCTGACATTCTTACCACACATAAAATATTTGAAAGCAAAGTGCTTGAAGGCTCTAGACTTGCTAAAAGTAGTCTCAAATACAGAGTGGGGAGGGGATCAGACCACCCTCCTTCACTTGTACAGATCATTAGTTCGCAGTAAACTAGATTATGGCTCCATTGTCTACGGTGGAGCCTGCAAAAGCAATTTAGAAAAATTAGACTCTATCCACCACCAAGGGATGAGGCTCTGCCTGGGAGCTTTTAGGACCTCTCCGGTAGACAGTCTATATGCGGAGGCCAATGAACCTTCCCTTGTGTCACAATGCGAGATAAAACAAAGGTGGTGTTGAAATAAATATAATTTATTTCAAAACAAAATGAAATGGAAAATCAAGAAAAAGTTCAAAATATTCAGCTTACACACCCCTTTCTCACCTCAAATACATTCATCCAAACATCTCAGTCATATCACTCCAAATACACCTTCAGTACATCACTCAAATACACACTCAGTACTCCATAACACCAGCGGTACCCAATACACTCATACTCCTATACACAATACACAAATCAAATATAGGCATACAAATGAAACATTTACAAAATGTAATATTCCAGTCCATATCTATTTGACGATCGGCTCCTATACAGGAGGTTGCACAGATTAATGGTATGTACAGTTCACGTCCTCACGAACACGGTCACACCCTGTCTGACGATACCCTGAGGGCTACCCTGCCCTCCATACTTGTCACTGGACAACGTCCGGTCACAACACTGGTGAGAGGCACTGGTGAGAGGCATCGCTTAGCTGGTCAGCATACTTGGAGTTGACCCGCCACACTCAACCGGCAATACCTTGAGGCTACCCTGCCCTCCATACTTGGCACTGGACAACGTCCGGTCACAACACTGGTGAGAGGCACTGGTGAGAGGCATTACTTCGCTGGTCAGCATACTTGGTGTTGACCCGCCACACTCAACTAGCCAGCACACAGGCCGTCAAGCCAATACGGCCCCGACACTACACAAAGACAAAGTACTTGTTACACACAATTGTTTACGTCTTGAGCGTCACATACTCAATGTACACTAATCATTCAATTCACAATTCGAATGATTATACACACTTACTACTCGAGTGTAATATACTCAATACACAATCATTCAACACAATACAGAGTATTAAATACTCAGAATGATAATACACAGAGCAATGTCAGCATAATTACACTTAGAATAACATACACGTGTTATTCAACACAGACAAGTGATTATGCCTATACATACCACTACAGTAGACCAACAATTGCCATGTTTACATTTCGCCTGAGTGATGTTTTAAATATCAACCTATGACCGACACTGCTATTCAATTCAACATTATGGACATAAAATACAATCTAACACTTTCCATAATTAAATGCAAAATTTACTCACGCCATGATAATTTTCCTGGCTCAGCTTTCACACCGTCGCTCCGCTCTATCATATATCACGACTGCACCTGTCACATCAAACCGTCCACTTTTATGACTAAGTCGCAGAAACTGCCTGCTTTTCACGTGCAATCTCACTTCGCACACAGCCCAACTGCACGTACACTCACTCAACCGACATACAGTTCAACCACACTATAAGAAACATCCAACGTATATACAGCTCAACCACATGTGATCTTGACACACCTCCATCCTTGATAATTATTTGCAAAATAATTATATACACTAGGACAGATCACATTGGAGTTTTGAATACAGGAAAATAAACTCACGGTGGACACTGGCTCATGAGATCGGCCCCGACATTCTCCACACCCTCACCGCTCTGATACAGAATCTGTACGGCTGCAAAGCTAAGGCCCACCTCATAACTCGCCCGTTTGCCAACTTAGCCTTGGTCATCCACACTAGAGGCTGGTGATCTGTCTCTAACAGAAATTCCCTCCCATACAAAACCGGCTCAATTTCTGTACACCCTACACAATAGCCAAACACTCTTTCTCAATGGTAGAATATGCCTTCTCTCGGTCCAGCAACTTCCGACTGACATACATAATGGGAAACTTCTCACCCCTCATGTTCTTGTAATAGCACTGCTCCAATGCCAACATCTGATGCATCTGTCCGCAACAGAAATGTCTTTTTCCAAATCCGGCAACTTTAGAATTGGTGCACTTGCCATGAGCTTCTTCAACGTCTGGAATGCCTGTTCCTGACTATCAGTCCAAACAACAACATTAGGCTTACCCTTCTTTGTCAAATCTGTCAGTGGAACTGCAATGGCTGCAAAGTTTGGAATAAACCGCCTGTAGTAACCAGTTAAACCAATCAAAGATCTCACCTGTTTCTTTGTGGTTGGTCGTGACAATTCAAGATTGCTGCTAACTTCTTACTGTCAGGAGAGAAATATTACCTTGACCGACAATATGTCCCAGGAATGGTATAGTATGGTACCCAATCATCACTTTTGAGGGTCTGGCAGTGATATTGTACTGACGTGAAACGACTGAAAATAGCTCTCAGACTTACCATGTGATCTGCCCATCTATCAGTTCCTTCAATCACATCATCAATGTAACTGTCTACATGATCTACCCCTCTAAGGATTTTCCTCATTAACCTTGTGAAGACTGCTGAAGCATTAACCATACCAAACGGCATAACTGTCCACTGATATAGCCCATCTGGAGTGATAAACGCTGTATATGCCTTACTTTCCTCCTCCATCGGAATCTGCCAATAAGCTTTACTGATATCAAACTTAGACAGATACTGACACTTACTAAGCCTTGCAAAGAGACTTTCTGCCAAAGTGACTGGTTCTGAATCAAAAACCGTGATACGATTAATGGCTCTGTAATCTGAACAAAATCTGTAACTACCATCTGGTTTCTTCACTAGCACAATTGGAGAAGCATAAGGTGAATCTGAAGGTTCAATAACACCTAAGTCCAACATAGTCTGTATCTCTGCTGCAACGGTCTCTCTCATATGATGAGGTATTGGATAAGGACGTGACCTAACTGGATCTGAAGAAGTCAACCTGACCTTATATTCCATACAGTTGGTCCTCCCCGGCAAATCTGTCAAAACATCTGAAAATTCTGCCAACAACTCCCTAACGTCTGTCTTCTGCACATCCGACAAATCTTGAGAAATGTTCACATCAAGATAAGTTTCCTTAGCCGTCAAAGGTGGAGAAACAATCTCAGGCAAATCCCCTTCTACATCTGACTCCACATTGTCATCTCCCACATCAACAATGCCTGTACAAACATACTGTGGTAAACTCACACTCACATCACTGACCACTGTACTACAGCTACTAGATTCCCTGTCAATATACTTCTTGAGTAAGTTAGCATGATAAGTCTTCAACTTATCCCAACTCTAACGCGATAATTGTCAGAACCAAAACTCTCCTCTATCACAAAAAGGACCTTTCCATTGTAACAATAACTTGTTGTGATTGGTAGGTAACAGAATTAACACCTTATCACCCGCTTTCATCTGGCGTACCTTCACCTTGCGATTGAAATGCTTCCTGTACCTGCCTGATGCCTTAACCAAGATTGATGAGCTACCTCAATTGTCTCCTCTAACCTATTCTGTAAGTCCAACACATACTCATAGGTTGTCCCCTAGTCTCTGGATCTGGAATATCTTTTTGTCCACAATTCCCTCAACACCTGAACAGGCCCCTCTCACTTTCCTGCCATACAACAACTCGAATGGAGAAAATCCTAGACTTTCCTGAGGTACTTCCCTGTAAGCAAAAAGCAAAGCTGATAAATAACGATCCCAATCAGTTGGTTTCTCAGCACTTAGCCGCTTTAACATCAACTTCAGAGTGCCATTAAACCTCTCAACTAACCCATTACACATAGGATGGTATGGGTGGTGGTTAACTGCTTGAGGGACAACAATCTACTAACCTCCTTCATGACTGATGACGTAAATTGAGCACCCATATCAGACAACATCTCCTTTGGGGACACCTACCCGACTAAATATCTCCAAAAGAGCCTCTGCAACATACTCAGTTTCTATCCTCGGAAGAGCTACAGCTTCAGGGATACCTAGTCGCATAGTCAACAACTGTTAGGATGTACCGATTGCCTCTATCAGTTACTGGATATAAAGGACCAATCAAGTCTACGGCTATCCTTTCGAAAGGTGTAGAAATTAATGGCATCTGACCTAAAGGAACCTTGCCAACCTTCCCTTTGGAATCGTACGCTGACAAACATCACAAGACAAACAGTGCCTCCTAACATCACCTTGCACACCTGGCCAATAAAATTGTGAAATAACCCTGTCCAGCGTTTTCTTCACACCCATGTGACCACCCATCAAAGATTCATGACACACTTTCATAACCTCTGACCTCAACTCTGTAGGAACAACAGCCTGAACAACAGCCAAACCATCATGACTCACATACTCACGATACAACATCTCATTCTCACTGAAATATCGTGACACACCCTTCTCCGTCATCTTCTGTCTACCATCTTGCACCAACTTCCGGACTTTGTCTAACCCAGAATCCTCCTTCTGTTTCTGAATAAACTCTAGCCTACTCAAGGAAATGCCAACAGACTGAAATGTTTTTCATTGGTTTCATACCTTGCTCCCCTAACCTTCCTCTGACGCCTAGTCTCTACAGCACCAACAGCTTCAACAACCTCTACTACTTCCTCTCTTCAGGTAATGGATCCTCAGGAGCCTTGCACCTGGAATATTCCCTAACATAACATCAAACAAAGGAGTCTCCAAACATGCTGCCTTAACTGTGCCCTTGTAAAATGGTGAATCTATAGGAACCCATGCTACTGGTACAGTACAAACCCTACCATCACCCATGGTACAGTTATGAAGCTCACCTTCCACAAAGCAATCCTCATCCACAAGAGATCTCTTGACAACAACTCCATTACAGCCAGAATCACGCAAGACATTCACTGAATGGCCACACAGTTTACCAACACGCACTGGCATAGTCCCACACATACCACACATCGTACCTGACGTTGTACCTGATGTCACGAGAGCGTCATCCTCACCTGAATGATCTGTTTCACTAGTATCACTTCCTTCCACACCTTGAGAATCTATCTCACTCTTCTCTCCTACTTCTACAACTGGCTCACCGGACACATCACTGACACTCTCAATGACAACACTACCAGCACCTGTATTGCCCTTAAGTTTGGACTTCCACTTAGAACAAAGAAGATGCCATATGTCCCAAATCACCACAGCCATAACATTTCCGCTCATGTATCGGCACAAACGTTCTGGAATCCCTCTTCTCACTCTGTACTGACTTCTTCACCTGACTATCTGAGCCCTTCTTGAACCTATCACCACCCTGACTAACTGGATGAACAGATCTACCCGTAACACCTTCCCTAGCCTCCACAAAATGTTCTGCTAACCTAGCCATTTCCCCAACAGACTCTGGCTTCCTCTCCTTCAAGAAAATACAAAGGACTGTACTAACACCATGCAAGAGCTGCTCCCTCAACAACAAATCTCTAATTCCCTCCCAAGTCCTAGCACTGCCACTAAGATCTACCCACCTATCAAAATAATTCCCAACTCTAACTAAGAACTGAGTAAAAGTCTCACCCATCTCTATCCGAGCTGTCCTGAACTTCTGTCGGAACCCTTCCTCAGTCATCTCATACCGCTTCAGCAATGCTTGCTTTTACCTCCTTGTAGACCTCCACCTTGTCGGGGTCTAATCGAGAGTAAACGTCAAGTGCCTTTACCCTTCAATAAGGTGCTGAGAAAGGTTGCCCACCGAACCTCTGGCCATGCCTGTGACTTTGGCTACACGCTCAAACCTTTGTAAATAAGCATCGATGTTATCTCTCTGGTCATCAAAAGGTGGCATCTTAGGCACATAAGTAACAAATGGTGGCTTACCTTCCTGCTTTATACCTTCACCTACAGTACCCTTCTCCCCCTCTAACTGCAGCTTCTTCTCCTCTAAGTCTAACTTCATGCTCTCTAACCTCATAACCCTTTCCTTTTCCTTGTCCTCATTCTCCAATCTAAGTTTCTCTATCTCTAGTTTCTTCATCTCCCGAACCCTTTCCCGGTCATCCCGTTCTAATCTATCCTTCTCCTCTCCCCTCTCTAAATCTGTCTGTTCCCTTACAAACTGCTGTAAATTCTCCCCTGTATAACCTAACTCCTTGCCCAATTTACATATGCCCACTAAATCCATAGTGAAACTAAGCAAAGTATCTACAGGTAAAAATGTATACTATCTAATACAAGGTAAGGTTTGAACAAAGGGACCCGTTATACCTCAGCACCCTACAGCCACTAGTACCAAGCAATGAAAAATGTGAAGGAAACCAGGCGCACGACACCCAATATACGAGGCGTACCACACTCATACGAAAAGTAATTTGGAAATTACTAAATGGACCTACATATCTCACATGTGACAAAAAAAAACAAATCCCACCGCTGCCACCAAAATGTCACAATGCGAGATAAAACAAAGGTGGTGTTGAAATAAATATAATTTATTTCAAAACAAAATGAAATGGAAAATCAAGAAAAGTTCAAATATTCAGCTTGCACACCCCTTCCTCACCTCAAATACATTCATCCAAACATCTCAGTCATATATCACTCAAATACACCTTCAGTACATCACTCAAATACACACTCAGTACTCCATTACACCAGCGGTACCCAATACACTCATACTCCTATACACAATACACAAATCAAATATAGGCATACAAATGAAACATTTACAAAAATGTAATATTCCAGTCCATATCTATTTGACGATCGGCTCCTATACAGGAGGTTGCACAGATTAATGGTATGTACAGTTCGTCCTCACGAACACGGTCACACCCTGTCTGACGATACCCTGAGGCTACCCTGCCCTCCATACTTGTCACTGGACAACGTCCGGTCACAACACTGGTGAGAGGCACTGGTGAGAGGCATCGCTTAGCTGGTCAGCATACTTGGAGTTGACCCGCCACACTCAACCGGCAATACCTTGAGGCTACCCTGCCCTCCATACTTGGCGCTGGACAACGTCCGGTCACAACACGGGTGAGAGGCATCAGAGGCATTCGCTGGTCTTGGAGATCACGAATCACTCATATTGTCTCTTTTAATACCATCATCAGATATGAGTGTATGCCACATGTATACTCTTGGCGAAATTCTCCCAATACACCAAGGTAAAGGCAAAAGCAAAATTGGTCCATCTAATTACCGTGGCATAACGTTGACATCAACGCTGAGTAAGCTCCTAGAACGTCTGTTTCTAGATAGAATTGAGAAATAGACAGATAACATTTCCTCCCTCCTCCCTTTCCAGTTTTTCTTCAGGAAAACACACAGGAGCTGAGATGGCAGCGCTTACACTTGATTTTATTACAATAAAAATAATTCACCAGTATACTGTGCTTTTCTCGACAATTAGAACACGTTTGATCGTGTGTGGCTTGATGGTCTGTTTTATAAATTAGACAAACTTGGTATATCTGGTAAAATGTGCAGACTCCTTCGTTTATCTTATATGTCTATAAACTCTTAGGTTGGTTTTGCAGGGTCCAAATCGAACCAATGTCATGTTATACAAGGTGTCGGGCAAGGCCGTGTTATATCAGCTTGGCTTTTTGCACTGTATATAAATGATTTATTATATGATCTCAATAGAACAAGTTGTGGATTATGCCTCGCAGGGAGAAAATGTCCTGGCTTATTGTTAGCTGATGACACAACTCTTACCAGCTCCAACCCCAAGGGATTACAATGTTTGTTAGATGTAACTGATTGCTATGCAAACAAATGGAAGCTGAAACATAATGTAAGTAAGAGTGCTGTATTGTTGCTTGGTAACAACAAAAATGTATCGTCTAATGACCTTTTATTTTGTAACATTCATGTACCTATTAAACAATTCATTCTTTATGCCGGGGTGTATTTTACTACTTCCAAATCATCTGTTAATAGAACATGTATTGTTTGTGAAAAACTGAGAAATATGATTGATATTAATCATGACTATGGATTGCATTTTGGATTAATCATTTTGATGGATTAGAGTCCTATTACGTATGTTTACTGGGCTATTCCAGTTATACTTCTATGTGGCCTGAATGGATGGAATGCATGGGGAAAGCTATCTTGTAAAGAATATGATATGTTAGAAACCATGCAACGTTATTTTTGTAAATTAATACAGGGTCATGCCTAATGAAGTTGTATAACCTTGGTCTTTTATCATTACAAGTATATATTATAGTAAATCAACGTTCTCTATTGCTGCTTGGTAGATTAGCCCAACAGCGGTATTAAGTTTTCTTTCAAACAGCTGTTTTTACATAGAATTTGAGATATGACAATAAACTTATGATTGTAAGAAAGCATAAACGGGATATGAAATCTCATACTTCATTATGGAATTGATATATCGCATGATATTTTAAAGCATGTCATTATGTCTTGTACCATTAATATTGGTGAGAGAAATGTTTTATTTGAACAAATTTCTGACTTACTTGATGTTCATATGTTTGTAAAATTATGGAACTATGATGATGATGATGATGATGATGATGCATTTCCGAAATATCTACTTTCCGGAATACCGGAAGATGTAAAGGACCAGTTGTGTGTGGGCAAATGTTACAATATGTGTCTCAAATTCTGTATCTAAATGGGAACATATTATTAATTGTTGTATTTCACCTTATTACCCTGTGTAAATTATTTCATGTACATTTCTGTTGTGTCATGTACCATTAATATGACAGTATCATATTATTTTGTAATCTTCAAACTTTGGAGGAAATAAAGAATATCTATCTATCTATCTATCTATCTATCTATCTATCTATCTATCTATCTATCTATCTATCTATCTATCTATCTATGGCGCTGAACTCCGCGTCGCACGGGCATGCTCTGAGCCCATACAACATGGTGGCGCTAGAAGGTTTATAGTCATATGACTTATCCCACCGGGTACCCATTTTCTGCTGGTTGAACAGAGGCAGTTTTGAACTAACTCACTTGCCCACAAGTGTCACACGTGCTTCGTTGTGGACAGGACTGAAGTCCTACAAACTCTCATGAGTCAAACTGCCAAATATAAATTTCTACATTAAATTGTTCAGCTATGAGTGTTTAATACGAAAATAATTTTTTGAAGATCCGGGTTAGAATTAGTCTTCAGTAACCCATGCTTGTCGTAAGAGGCTACTACCGGGATCGGGTTGTCAGGTTTGCTTGACACATTTCATTGTATTCCAATTGCGTAGATCGATGTTCATGCCGTTGATCACTGCATTGTCTGATCCAGACTCGATTATTTACAGATCACCGACACATTCATTACTGGAATATTTCCGAGTGGGGCGTTAAAAAACAGACAAACAAAATGATACGATAACATATGCGCATATATGTCTCACCGTTGAATTATCACACATGGGGTATTTGTCCCGTATGTCCTTATGTAGAACTATATATATGTATGACATCAGATGAAATAGCTTCAGCTAATCTGTATCACTGTTCAACTATGTATATAATATCTGATACATGAGGCTCGTCATGTCTCAGTCCTTGCCTATGCGGATGCTATACGATGTCTCGTTTAGGCGGATCCTTCAGGGTATATTAGGCCATACCTGTAACTAGGTCACTGCAACAGGCACAAGGACCGCACATATTCTGTGTATTGTTTGCATGAAAGGGGATGCACGGACGCGTCTACTCAGCACGTTCAGTGAAGTGAGAAGGATGAGTTTTGTATCAACCTTTGGCCGGCCTCGCTGTTGAAAAAATCTAAACACACACTCTTTTCCTGGCTTGTGGCCTTCAGATCAAACAGAACCGGTTTGTCGACAATGTCGTGGTTGTATACCAGAAATACACCATGGTAAACAACCTGATGTTTGACCGTTATATAGATATATATAGCAGTGTTTCGTGCAGTCAGCGTGTTCAATACAAACCGTCATGACAGTGAGGCTGTGAACAGCTGTTGTTCCATGTCCGTGTCCTCAATCGTGGATTGGAATCTCGACCTACTGATTAACTTCTTTGATTGCCAGCACTGTGTTCGTGGATGTCACTAGCGTTAAACCGTCATTAAGTCGTTAAGGCGTACGTGGAACAGTCATACTTACTGTCATGACTCATTCGGCAGCTTATCCCATTAATAAATGGCGGCACGCAAATTGGATATTTGATATGATATCGAAGTGCAGTATGATTAGTAAAGTCCTTGCACAACAGACATGTCGTTACATAGAACGATTATTATATGCCCTGCATTGTGATGAAGTAATCATAATTATATTCCATACAAACTACGCATATATAATTACTACGGTTTCCTTCATAGCCTGTGGGTCAGAACTCTTACCAGCGCAGCCAGGCATAAAATGTGATGGATACTTATTCCACGTTAGGTTGTTATTTCCATTTTCAGTACCATATTTCAAACTTAATGTGTATTTTGTGAAACTAGTTGATTTTGTATTTTATATTAGGGAGAGGTGTGGGGTAGCCTAGTGGTTGAAGCGTTGGCTCCGAAGACGTGGGTACGATGTGTGAAGCCCATTTCTGGTGTTTCCCGCCGTGATATTGCCGGAATATTGCTAAAAGCGGCGTAAAACCCAACTCACTCACTCACTATATCAGAGCATGGACTTTACGTCATATAACCATATGTGGCAGGAAGCGAAGCATGATAAAAACAAGTTCGGGCACTCATGTGTGAAATACATATTCATGTTTGAAACCACACATAGTGCAGTGTGAGCGGCTGTCGAGCCAACATTGCATTGCCCGTAAACAAGCGAGCAGCGTTATCTGTCGGTTTGAATACCCTATACAGGTAGCCACCCAGCCAGTCACCCAGCCGTTCACCGCTGTGACTCTGACATACTTGTACTGCATTGAAGACAGGTGTGGGCGAGCTCCACCGATATGACGGACCTTTGAAACATTCGCCACTGTTCGTTGAATCAGGATGTTACGTGGTCAGTGCACCAGCAACACCTAAAGGTAGGCACGTACAGCAACTGGTATAGTTCTCACACTGTCCACGTACATGTACAAAGGTGAAGGAAAATATACGCGTCCCTTGTTTGTATGTACCTGAGATACCATATACAGTCGGTCGCTATAGCGTGAGTACTCTTTACGTCATGGTGGGCTTAGTTTTGTGGATCAGATCATTTTACTAGGGAACACCATCGTTATTAACTGATATCCATATGTGCCATAGGGACTGGGCGAATTTTGAATATCTCTAACGCGGTCACGTTGCTCTTCCTGTCCGCCATGCTTCATATCTGGGTTACCTGGCAGGCCAGCAGGTATATTGATCTGCCAGCACATTTCAGGTTGGGCTAATAAACTAGCCAGTTTAAACGATTTGGGTATTGGAGTAATTGTCAAACGTTTGGTAGTCCCTGGCCATAAACATTTCAAAGTTTAATCAATGCATATAGTATCGTAACAACGACTGTTTCATGTACTGTAGACATATGCACGTCAAGATCAATCAAATAGCCTCATGATATGATATTTTTTGCATTTGTAGATACCCTGTATGTGACCAAACAGTTTTAGCCAGCACAACCTCCCAGTGAAGGAATCCCCGCTTCAGCATGAGACTGTACTGCACCGCATTCTTATTCCTCGCCCTGACCCAGCTAAACGGGGTTGTAGCACAGGGTAAGACCATTGTCAATAGAAATACACGTGATCAGGCTTGTATTTGCTGTCAACGGCAGGTCACGCTGTACAGTGACTATAGCGTGACTCTATGGAACCAGACTATGAGCTCAACACTGCGGTATTCAAATGAGTCAGTTTCGCCATGTTGTTTAAGACCTAATGTCGCTTTCTGGTCCTGATAGACTGTTTATCAGCTCTATGATTATACACCCCGTTTTTCTCAAGATAACGCTATACATCCCGAGGTATCTGCATTAACGAGGCTCTCCTGTATGCCCCCCCGCGGGGTTTGTTATAGCAGAGTTAACTGACCTATTTGACTCACTCATTGGAGATGTGGTGTTATGGAGAGTTATAAAAAATCATTGCACAGGGTCTGATTGCATTTCTGAATATACAATATGTTTCAGAGAAATTTATCTCTCATATTCTCGTAGGAGTATTATTTGGCGTCCACCAAATGACACCACTATTACTTAAGGGTTTGATTTCGACCCAATAAACACTCCTTATCAGTGAGTCATTATCACTTCCTGCATGTTGATAAGAATGTTCCTTGTCTTCACGACAACACCTTTATGTGCCAATACAGATTTTACGTTATATACAATGACAAGGATAGGCACAACACCGAATGTGACATTCCAGTATATATGATGTATTTTACGACACATGTATGATTATTTACATAACATAACAGATGGTAATTAATAGTACATGCATTTCATACTTCAACACACATCTGGCGTGCCTACTGTGGTGACACTAACTTTAGCATGAAATACGTATAGTCATGGCTTGACATTCATTACAACATATATGTCAGGTTACTGGCTTGTACACCTGATAGCTTCTCATGTAATGTTTTTCGATCTAAAAGAAGCATATATATATACAAAGTATTGTTTACATCTAATAGACATATTGTGTAGAGATGTCACATCAAAGGCAGAAGGCTCAATATATAAAGCAGGTGTCTTGCAACTAAAGCATCATATTGCTCATATAAGCAATATCATAGAGTTTCTTTGAGAGGCATTTTTAGAAGTTGTATAGTCGAAGGAAAACCAAGTTATATGGATAGTCAACTTCTTTATTGCAATGAGTGCGACGTTTCGGTGTAGGTACTAACACCGTTATCAGGCAAGTGATAGAGTTTTGGTTTAATGTAATATATAGTAAGCAGTATTATTGTATGGATAGCATCAGGTATTTTACTGTAAGCAGTTATATCTAATGCATCATGGAGTACATCGTTAGCTCGATTGTTGTATCTCAGGAGATAGGCTGTGATACGCTGCTGTAGGTGATAGGCTGCATACGAGGCATTAGGTAGTAGAACTACATAGTGATTAGTTACCTTGAGGCCGCTTGTAATATATATTATTGTTGTTACATGCGAGAGAGAGAGAGAGAGAAAGAAAGGGAATCACACATATATATCTATATCTACATGTATATATATATGTATATATATATATATATATATTTATATTATATCATATTCAAGTATTAAATATAAAGCAGTATTATGGCATCTATGGGATGAGGATGTATTGTTAGTTAGGGGTATTGTTGTATGTAATTATCAGATACTACAGTAAACAGTATTGTTACGTGTGTGACATGAAAACGTGGGTAACGCATTGTACGCAGTATTGTTGTATGTATGGACTAATATCTTATGTAGAAGGCGGTTGTAGAGAGAACAGTAGTGAGTAGTAATGTTACATTCCTTGCATCGCTGTAGACAGTGTTGTATGTAGATACCACAATGCAACGGGGTGACAGTGTTACAGCTTAGAGCATACACCGAGTGTATAGAGCCTAGCGCAATATACGTACGTGTTATCCCCCCTCCTCCTCCTCATCTGAGATATTACGTACTATAATGGAAGCAGTGTTTGACATAAATCAGGCAACCAACAGTACGAGGGGCGTCCCAAAAGTAGTCGGCCTCACCTAGAAAATTATGCAAATGCATCTGTCTTTATGTTATATTTTTCCAAACCCAAAAACAAAAACAAAAACAAAAACAAAAACACCCCCCCAAAAAACACACAAACACACACACACACACACCACCACCACCACCAAAAAACCCCCAAGCAAACAAAACAAAAAACAAACAACCCTCCCCCCCGACAACAACCAAAAAACAAAACAAAAACAACAACGACAAAAACCGCAACATATGCAATAAATGCATCTCACAAACTTCAGGAAACAATATATGCAAAAAACATTTTAGGTGTTTGAGAAGTCCTTTAGAATCAAACGAAGATGTTAGAGTGCAAAAATCGCTTGTTGAAGTGACTCCCCCATGATGTTTACTGAAAGAGCTTGTTTTGGAGACACTACCCATCCCCCCTTTCAGATGACGTAATCATAAGGCATAGCATATTCTAATGTTTTCACTTATGCATACATGATGCCAAGGGTTCAAACTAAATACTGAATGGTCACACAAGTGTCAGCACTCAATATATTGTAAACAGTGCCAGCTTGAATATCTGGACACAATGTTTTTGAAAGATTAAAATGGGGGTGTGTGTGTGTGTGTGTCCTTTAAAAACAGCCCCGTCTAAATATAAATCAAGCAATCCAAATCTTTAAAGGTTGATTGTGACGGGAAATTATCCAATACTATACTGAACTAATTTTACATGATATTATCTGAAAGCATACCATTATCCAAGAGGTACAAAATGACAGATCGTTTTTCACTTTCAGCAGTTCTTAAAGAAGTGAAATATTATACCCAAATGTGTTGTGATGACTAATATCTCGTTAACCATATTACCAATATTATATCGTCGCAGTCCTGTCAAAACCTCGTATCTGACTTTTATTAAGTTTTGAGATAATAAAAAAAACCTGTTTCATTTTTTAATGTGCAAACTTAATACAATGAGTTTCAACCATAACTTTGCATCATTATTTGCAGTGAAACCAAACATGTTTGGCACCTTAATTCCAAAGGGTTAGGCCTGGATAAAAAATACGAGGTTTTGCATCAAGTCTATTATTAAATAGGATAGTTTGAAAACAGGTAATTTCACTTAAATGTATTCAATTAACAATTAAACAGGAAGAAGAGACGGTCTGGTGTCTGTTCAACGAGCCAGAACCATTATTGCATTATCAATACAACGTTTAAACAAGGAAAAGATCATTTATGGCTCAAGGCCAATTTGCATGACATGTTTTATCGGTGTAAGAAAATACTAAATCGACCACTTATTCTTGATTGCTATATCCTGATTTATTGTAAGGTACCCTATTCAATCCAAAATTTCATCTCATTTACAGTATCGTCCCTAAAGACGTCTCACGGGGCGCTGTACCTGTACTGACTATACAGTCAAACGCCTTAAAATGAGCACACATTGTTACAAAGCCTTTGTAACTTAAAGATGAAGAATGGAACGAATTGTAACACATGTTCTGTATCAACCCTGATTACCTAAGTCTTAGCAAACTATTGGGCACAACTCTGTACGTGCATGCAGGCACCTTCCCCAAAGTTTGATAACTGATAGAACAAATAGGAAACAACCGTTAGGACATATGGTACAGTCACCATGTTTCAACAGTGATAAGCCTTATAATTATATCGGCCTCTGACAAACGTCTTAAAATGAATAAACACCCATGACATTTACGAGGTTTTGTATGTTATTATTGGATATCAATAGGATAGGTGCTTTTGAAAAATGGTTGTATCTTGGAATATTATTGGAGGATTGTTATGAGAATTTGACTGAAAATGCATTGTTACTAGATGAATGTATTTTTCATCTAAAGTCAATTTTGGCAAAATGCAGACTTACGAGATTTTAACAGGACTGCGAGGATATGTGAAATTTTGGATATGGCTTTGCTAATGATTCCTTCAAAATAAAATGGAAGCTTTTCTACCATTGGACATCGAGAATATAGTTAGGCTGACTACTTTTAGAACGACCCTCGTACATAACATGTAGTAATATGCTAGTACTGCTAAACACCATGTATTCTGACAGGATCACTGGTATTGGTGAATAAGTAGAAGGTGCAGCACACAGCGAGCAACGGAAGTACAACGTCAGATATATAGGGGCGGTGGGGTAGCCTAGTGGTTAAAGCGTTGGCTCGTCACGCCGAAGACCCGGGTTCGATTCCCCACATGGGCACAATGTGTTAAGCCCATTTCTGGTGTCCCCCGCCGTGATATTGCTGGAATATTGCTAAAAGCGGCGTAAAACTAAACTCAGTCAGTCAGTCAGTCAGTCAGATATATAGTAAGCAATATAGTAAGCAAACGTCATAGTAAGCAACCCGTGAAGGTCCGGGTTAGAATATTGATCTTCAGTAACCCATGCTTGCCGCAAGAGGCGACTAAGGACATGTGCTGGAGATTAGGTGCCTGACTCTGAGGGTGTGGGTTCGAATCCCGGATGGGACTCAACTCAAAAAGTACTAGAATTTGTACTTTACTAAGAAAGTGTAATCCCAAATATAACATATGTTATAATAAGATATTGCATTTTCATTGTATGAATTCGTTGAACGACCGCATCAAATAACGGATGCATTGTTAGGCTTCATGGGTGAATAATGAAACCAAATCCGGTGACATATGACACATTGATTGACACAGGATACCCGTTATTAATCAATATGGAGTAAAACAAGGAAATTACTCCTTTTAAAACTTTGTCTGTTTGTGTAGTAAAGAGAGTATTTTAGTAAATTTACGGTACGCGTGTGTCATACTGCCACAAAACTTAAGCTCATACACTTCTTAAGCTCACACACTATATGTGACAAGCAATGGCGCGTCATCACTTATATGTTACACACCTCATAAACTGTTCACATTATATGGATGGATAATAGTTTATCATCATTTCAAGGACTATATTCTCTGGAAGTGGGCGAGTTTCAATTTCACAGTAGTATTCCATTGGTATGATTATTTAAATGAGGTTATCATTTTCAAGCTCTTTATAATATCATGGATAAGGATAAGTAGTTGGAACTTGACTCCGGTTTTGGACCTTCTATATGCTATTATACTGGTATTTCTAAGTCTTGAAAAAGACAAATATGTTTTATGTGTGCTGGTATTTACTGCGTATTAAAAGAGCATTTTTTTGCCATAAACAACAAACCGGTTATGGCGTTTGTCCTGTTGTTGACTCATTGGGGTAACTAAGGTTAAATTTCTCACACTATGGACCGGAAGTCACCTTTGTCTGTTGTCTCAGTGGTTGTATTGTTGCCTGTGCTGAGTGAGTTTTACAGTTAACCCTACTCGCTGTACAGGACAATAGTTAACACAGTAAGTAATACATATTTGATTTTAACAAGAATAAAATCAAATCACCAGCACATACAGGAAATAAAAACATGTCTAACTGACAGGTCATCACCACACCTAGAAATATAGCGTCCACCCACGTGTAAAACTACTCATGTGTCATGATCGATCGGATCCCAAGTCTATGAGACAAGCAGAATAAAAGCGTCCAACATACTTCAGACATGCATTTGCCTGTTAGACGAATGTCGTTTAGGTAGACGACAAACCAAAGCGTTGCAGTTTTTACTGATAAGAATGATTTATGATTTTTGTTGACTAATGGATAAGGATATGAAGTGTTTGCTGTGGGTGACGCGTCTGGTGGGCCTTATCAGGTGATCTGTGATCGGGGCAGGAGGGAAGGGCGTGAGGGTGGTCTCGCGGGTATGTGGTTCCCCCTTCGCGACAATGGACCCGTTCCTACAGCGACCGTTATGCCCCTACCGCCCTCTCAAGGTTATCTTGCAGCCGATGCAGCTGTAGAATCGCTTAATAGCTATTAGGGCTGTGCGTTAAAACCGTAAATGTTTCAAAGTGTGAATCATCTATCTTACGTTCAGCTTGTCGCACTTATACTGAAGCAATACATTGGAACATAATTCTGTGTTCTGAAGTTGTCAGTAGCAACACTAAGTAGTATTTTCTTGCTTTTGCGTGGCTATGTTCAAAACCCCAGATTTAACCGATATGTTGTCTATATCACATGAAAAGGTTACAATTATATACATTTTCCATTAGTTACCTAAGATGTATGAGTGAGTGAAAATGGTTTGACGCCGTTTCAATGGTTCGGCCAATGGCTATCAACTAAGACTTGGTTGACATTTCCCAAATTAAGTGACTCGTCATGGATCCTCTGCTTATGAGCACCATCGGCATTAGATTATAGTCAGTAGGTACTGCATGCACATACGGCTTTGCGTTATTTACGTTCACGTCTCACTTACCAGAAACGACAGAAAGGGCAAATTCAAGAGCATTTTCTGACGATTTATGTTAAAGTATTGTTTGGACACCGGGCGTTTCCAATGCATGGTCTGCCTGATCAATGTTATGTAGGACTGTGAAAACGAGGATGTGTCTCCTTGCGTGTTACATGTACTGCTGTGTGTTGTTAAACGTCACGCTCAGCAATATTCCAGCTCCTCGTACAAAACATAATAATGAATATTGTGAGTAACGATCTACGGCCAGGTACAATGATACGCAGTGAACCAGGTCACCTAGTGTGACCCACAGGCCCTCGGGTCTTTGCAAGGATTAAAGATTTAAACAGAATAAGAAAATAAATTGTTTTCAGATTTTCCAACTCATGCTTTATTGTACTGTGAAGCATTTCGAGTTTCATCTCAAATTTATTTTGATATTTTTTGTATGTTGCTTTAATACATTGTAGCATGATTGTCGATAATGGGGTAATTAGCCAATAACATCGTTGGCCTGTCTTGACCCATTCTTGGCCCGAGATTTAAACACTCCCCGATTGATTCTCCCGCGACCAGCATAGGTCCGGCTATTATATAATGCTCTATACAGTACTCAACTGTGAACATGTCAGGTAGTCTTTTTGGCTATAATAGGTATTCATTTCTTTTCAGAAACAACACCAGACATTACGGAACCAACGGTGCGTCAAACATTATACATTAAGGATAACAAAGTTCTTTTGGCTTGTGAAGCCAAGGGCGACCCTGTCCCTACGTAAGTACGACGTTTGATACACAGTATTTCATACATTTCTATTCTAGTACTTGTGTTGGGTTGACCAGGGTGTACTAACTATTCTAGTACTTGTGTTGGGTTGACAAGGGTGTACTAACTATTCCAGTACTTGTGTTGGGTTGACCAGGGTGTACTAACTATTCCAGTACTTCTGTTCGGTTGACAAGGTTATCTCCCAATTGACAGACACCCATTTGACAGACACCCAATTGACAGACACTGAACTAGAAGGTTAATTAGGGCAACACCTACGGGTATAATGGAACAATCCACTGTTTAGTGAGTAGAGCAGGGTGAGCCTGAAACAGGTTCGTTACTGCGAAGTTTGATTGTGGGTAAATAGAACTTTGTTGTGATTAAATGATAAATGATTTCTCTTCTCAAAATTGATTTTACTATCAATTACTATCGAATATAAAAACAGGTTTGTCACTGAGAGGTTTGATTGAGTTTATTGATAGAAAAGCCCCCTCCCAATCATAGCATATGTACAACAGAAGTTTTGTTGGAGAGATATAGATATGTACATATTTGAAAACATTTCTGATTTGCAGTAAATGAGACACCTGCATTGCCATGAAAGATCAGATTAATACCAATCAGTGGTCTGATTTTAACAATACTTTCTAAAGATTGTAACAGTTTATGTCTTTGAATAGCATACAATGGATATTCAAGGAAGTAATAAAAAACATTCTCATAATGCGTCATATTTTAAATATTTATTCTAAATAAATCGTAATTAAGTGCAATCGTCATATATCTTAATATTGTGTGCAAAACATATAACTTCTTTATTCCATATGAATAATATTTAGGTTCACATTTGTCTTTATTTGATTCATATGATACAACAGTGTCGCAATTTCTAATAGCTAAGCTAATGTTTTCAATATGATGATGCCGACTCCCGTTAGACGAGAAGGTTAAACCGAAATGTTTATCAAAATAAATTGTTTTTATATTGCAGCAATAAAAAATCAAATTACTGTCTTTTCGTCCATCTTTAATAATAAATAATCTAGCTTCAGTTTGTTCCTGTGTTTTTATTTGGACTATTCCATTATAATGTGTAGGTAACAGGTAGTAGATAATCTGTTCACTGAACCGTAGATGTTGTTGTTTATTCCATGGCTGTAATGTGTACACCGTTGACAAGGGTGTACTTTCGTACTGATAATCTGTTCACTGAACTATCGTAAATGTTGTTGTTTTAGTACTTGTGTCTGCCAGGGTGTAACTGGCAGTCTGTGTTGGGTTGACCAGGGTTTTAGGACACTAACTTCCAGTACTTGTGTTGGGTTGACCAGGGTGTACTAACTATTCCAGTACTTGTGTTGGGTTGACCAGGGTGTACTAACTATTCCAGTACTTGTGTTGGGTTGACCAGGGTGTACTAACTATTCCAGTACTTGTGTTGGGTTGACCAGGGTGTACTAACCCCAGTACTTGTGTTGGGCTGACCAGGGTGTACTAACTATTCCAGTACTTGTGTTGGGTTGACCAGGGTGTTCTAACTTGTGTTGGGCTGATTCCAGTACTTGTGTTGGGACCAGGGTTGGCCAGGGTGTACTAACTATTCCAGTACTTGTGTTGGGTTGACCAGGGTGTTTTAACTTCTCCAGTACTTGTGTTGGGTTGACCAGGTGTACTAACTATTCCAGTACTTGTGTTGGGTTGACGAGGGTGTACTAACTAATCCAGTACTTGTGTTTGGTTGACCAGGGTGTACTAACTATTCTAGTACGTATGTTGGATTGACAAGGGTGTACTAATTATTCCAGTACTTGTGTTGGGTTGACCAGGGTGTACTAACTATTCGAGTACTTGTGCTGGGTTGGCCAGGGTGTTTTAACTATTCCAGTACTTGTGTTGGGTTGACCAGGGTGTTTCAACTATTCCAGGACTTGTGTTGGGTTGACAAGGGTGTACTAACTATTCCAGTTCTTGTGTTGGGTTGACCAGGGTGTACTTACTATTCCAGTACTTGTGTTGGGTTGACCAGGGTGTACTAACTATTCCAGTACTTGTGTTGGGTTGACAAGGGTGTTTCAACTATTCCAGTACTTGTGTTGGGTTGACCAGGGTGTTCTAACTATTCCAGTTCTTGTGTTGGGTTGACCAGGGTGTTCTAACTATTCCAGTACTTGTGTTGGGTTGACCAGGGTGTTCTAACTATTCCAGTACTTGTGTTGGGTTTACCAGTGTGTTTCAACTATTCCAGTACTTGTGTTGGGTTGACGAGGGTGTTCTAACTATTCTAGTACTTATGTTGGATTGACAAGGGTGTACTAATTATTCCAGTACTTGTGTTGGGTTGACCAGGGTGTTTTAACTATTCTAGTACTTGTGTTGGGTTGACCAGGGTGTTTTAACTATTCCTGTACTTATGTTGGGTTGACCAGGATGTTTCAACTATTCCAGTACTTGTGTTGGGTTGACCAGGGTGTTTTAACTATTCCAGTACTTGTGTTGGGTTGACCAGGATGTTACAACTATTCCAGTACTTGTGTTGGGTTGACCAGGGTGTACTTACTATTCCAGTACTTGTGTTGGGTTGACCAGGGTGTACTAACTATTCCAGTACTTGTGTTGGGTTGACCAGGGTGTTTCATCTATTCCAGTACTTGTGTTAGGTTGACCAGGGTGTTCTAACTATTCCAGTTCTTGTGTTGGGTTGACCAGGGTGTTCTAACTATTCCAGTACTTGTGTTGGGTTGACCAGGGTGTTTTAACTGTTTCAGTACTTGTGTTGAGGTTGACAAGGGTGTACTAACTATTCCACTACTTGTGTTGGGTTGACCTGGGTGTATTAACTATTCGAGTCCTTGTGTTGGGTTGAGCAGGGTGTACTAACTATTCCAGTACTTGTGTTGGGTTGACCAGGGTGTTCTAACTATTCCAGTCCTTAAGTTGGGTTGACCAGGGTGTACTAACTATTCCAGTACTTGTGTTGGGTTGACCAGGGTGTACTAACTATTCTAGTACTTGTGTTGGGTTGACCAGGGTGTTTCAACTATTCCAGTACTTGTGTTGGGTTTACCAGGGTGTTCTAACTATTCCAGTACCTGTGTTGGGTTGACTAGGGTGTACTAACTATTCCAGTACTTGTGTTGGGGTTGACCAGGGTGTACTAACTATTCCAGTACTTGTGTTGGGTTGACCAGGGTGTACTTATTATTCCAGTACTTGTGTTGGGTTGACCAGGGTGTACTAACTATTCGAGTCCTTGTGTTGGGTTGACCAGGGTGTACCTACTATTCGAGTCCTTGTGTTGGGTTGACCAGGGTGTTTCAACTATTCCAGAGAATGTGTTGGGTTGACAAGGGTGTTCTAACTACTCCAGTACTTGTGTTGGGTTGACCAGGGTGTTCTAACTATTCCAGTACTTTTGTTGGGTTGACCAGGGTGTACTTACTATTCCAGTACTTGTGTTGGGTTGACCAGGGTGTTTTAACTAATCCAGTAAATGTGTTGGGTTGACCAGGGTGTTCTAACTATTCCAGTACTTATGTTGGGTTGACCAGGGTGTACTATCCATTCCAGTACTTTTGTTGGGTTGACCAGGGTGTTCTAGCTATTCCAGTACTTGTGTTGGGTTGAGTCCCCTCCGGGAGTCGCGAGTCATTCACACAAGTACAACTAAAGTACTTAAATCTACCACTTTCTAAATGATATTGTGTATTCTTACATGCGTGTGTTGGACCGAAGAGGTTCTACTGAAACTCCGAACCCCAGAGGTGTTAACATTGTAAAATCCCATCAGAGACTCACAAGTTCCACTGATACCCTTTTGTTTACAGGTACAAATGGTATAAAGATGGGACCATAATCGTCTCTGATAGTATCACGCAGGTAGATTCTGTCACTGGCAATCTCACCATACCCAGCTTCACCAACAGAGAAGAGGGTAAATACCAGTGTGGGGCGCAAAACACCGTCAACACACAGATCAATCCAGTAGCCGTGTCTCCCGTCATCCTTGTCAGAGAAGTTTGTGAGTAGATATATACTTGTACTGCATTATACTTGTACAGTAAAACAAAAACAGTCTGGACCTGTTAATCCGGAACCCCGTCTTTCCGGACGCTGGATACCCCAACATGTATACAGTGACAGTGTTCCGTACCTATTTTTTTAATTTATTTTTTTATTATAGGATATTTATATAGCGCACATATCCAGGCAACTAGTGCATGCTCAAGGCGCTGATATATACTATGCCTCGTTAATATGAAAATGTAAAACTAATGCAAACGAAATTGCCCCGGAATAACGGGGGAGGCTCTGTGTTGTACTTCCACCTGCTGTGTCTTACACGTTCATATTTAGCTGCAAAATAGACAGCAAGGCTATATTGATATAAGCCAATTAATACCATGATGCGAAGATCACGCTGAAAAAATGCAATATAGGGTGAGGGAGTGAGTTAAGATTTACAGTCACATCGGCTGTACCTTAAGCTTTTGCATTTTTCGGATCTTGGTTACCGCATGGATAACACTATCCATTATGTGATAATCATCACAGTTTCGATAGCTTTTGATTATACATAGCAAAACGTTCATCAAGAGATCATTGATGAGATTGTGGTTTACACAATGCATGATGAACATACTGGAGGGTTTCCATTAACCAGTCTTTGTCTTTTAGTGGATCCTGTTTCGGCTGTTCGGCGCTGTTGTTATCACCTCTCCTCACCAAATGCAACGAAAACACAAATCATTCACTGTTTACAGCTCTTGGTGCCAACTGGCCTGTCGTCCCTACTGAATCCATACAGAAAAACGAAGGTGCCTACGCGAAGCTGCTGTGCACAGACGTTCCGGAAAGTGTCCCAAAGGCTAAATTCAGCTGGTTTTTGGAAGAAACAGCCGGTGCTAAAAAGCAAGTGGAGGAAGGCAGCAGAATCCATATTGACGATCAAGGTGACCTTTGAACAGAGATAAAGTATTTAGCTGGATGTCGGTGTTACTGTTACAGAGCATTGCATATTTGAAAGAACCAAAGTCAGCAATGGCAAAACAATTCGATTTTTCACAAAACAATCCACGGCACAGTGTATAGTCAGCTTGTTAAATATATGTTCAATATTTAAGTATTATACGTATCATAATTTGAACTATTATATACTTGAATATTGAAAATCGGGGTGGTCCTTAACTTTTTTTGAGCATATATTTCTTGTTTGACCTAACCCACCCATTTTACCACTATGCTAAGAAACAACTTTGCAGCATGTTCAGACTCATTAGTAACCAAAAGCGTGGTAGACCCAAAAAATGTGTATAATATATACATTATTTATGTTTTACTTTTGTATCTAATAAAATACAATTTTACAAACTCTTCCATCCCTTTCATTGAATCCAGAATATTGTTTCAACTGGAAACGTGTTGATATTTTTGGATTTGAATACATGTTCTCATAACATATACACTTAATGAAACAACAGATTCCAATTTAAAAGTCTTTGTATGACATTATATGATATTGTATTTAAGACAAAATCTTTTACAGGGACTCTTCATTTTATCTACCTGGAGCCAAGTGATCAGACAAACGTCAACCTGTACAAGTGTGCCATATATAACAATATCCTCGACACCATCCGACTGGGCAGTCCAAAGAGTCTGGCAGTTACTCCGGTTGCCAGTGAGTATCGATTGCTTTGTAACAGATATGCATTTTAATTGAACGTAATGTTCATGTCAGTATTGTTTTACATTGTTTATATCACTATCCCTTTCTTTACATATAACCCTTATTCCACCTTGTTGTATCCCCTTTTATATATCTGCATGTATCATGATGTCGTGATATTGTTTGTTACAATGCGTGTTGTACTCCCATTGAAACCATCATGAGAGAATATTAAAAATGCCCCAGATTCCTAGCTGAATTATATTTTCAATAGTGAATGTTCTACATGAATATCCCATTATATTTAAAACTCACATGCGTTGCAGTCTCTAAAAATTGACATCAACATAATATAATGTACGAAATTGACATCAAAATGACGGCAGCAGAAATTACCCAACGTGGTCATTAAACTACTCATGCTATCAACCTATCATTGAATATTTAGCTATCAAAGATAGGATTTGTGTTGGCATATTCATACAATGATTAAGTTGGCAGTTGTCTCCCTTGAAATTATGAAAAGGTTAAATAATGTACTATCACGGTGTAAGAATACATTGTTCTGGAGCAGTGATTGGGCATTGTTGCATCTACATACACGTGTATCCATTCTGTCCATTCAGTGCATATCCTTGTAAGTAAATATGTTTTATGTTGAGGAAGTAGATAAATCTGGAATATGTGTGAGCTTAGGCTAGTGAAATGGTTATGTAATGGTTGTCCTTAAAGCAGTATTTGTGGTAGGAACTATCGGAGGGCGGAGCTAATACGAGCAATCTGACAGGTGATTGTAACACAAACATTTCAATGGTTAATTGGTTAACGGCAGGCAAACATCAAAGACGTACAGACCCGTGCCAGTTATATTCGGACACTTGACGTAACTTCAATAGACTTACATGTTAATTTAGTGTGCAAAAATATTTTTCATGAATTTAATTTTCGTATGATCCAAGTCAAATTGTGCACTCACGTAATTTCTGTATATTTTTCCGTTGCTTATCTATCGAATGGCAACAATTTAATCAACATGTGTACAGTGCCCTGAACTCCTTTAACATGGCGGCCTATGGGGTTGTGCATTGTGGAACTATACGTAAGTTGATAAATGTGATGTCATTAGTTAAACAGTGGTCGGAAAGTTAAACTGAAACAGAGCAGAGATGATTTCAAATTTGTATGTCAAATTTTACAAAGATCTATCCTAAACTCACTTCATGAAAATTATTTATGCTACACTGAAATAACATGTAAGTCTATGGAAATGACGTCAAGTGTCGAAATATATATGTCACGAGCCTGTAAGTTTGTGTGACATTACACTCCCCATTAAAGGTGTTATGTATCTATCAAACACTTCCAAGATGCTTCTACAAACGTTTGAAAACCTTCCTGTCATTTCCTTATAGGTGTTGGCTTACATCCTGAACTATTTCTGCGGAATGGCCTTAGTGTCCAACGCATTCAAATTTATCCTGGGATGAGAACGAACACCTTTGTTGTGATCTATATATGCAGAGTTATCAAAACATAATGCGTATCACTGCATCGAACTTCATCCTTTGGTATATTTTCAGTTTTGGGAAAAAAGTATTTCTCAAAAATCAATGACAATTGGTAATTTCGACAGTGTGTTTGTTGGGTTGTAATGTTTTTCATGACCACATTGGGAATCCGAATGTCAACGATCGTGTTATGGTAAAACTATGAAAATAGTGTTTTCGTCGTGTTCAGTGCCCAGAAGCAGTGTGTCTCGACAGAAGTAAACTTGTACGAACTTTTTTTCGTACGAAGTCACTCACTCACACTTAGCGGGAGGTTTAAGTTCCCTGTTGATTCCTTTTGTCGTATGCCAAGTATCATTTGCAATACGTTCGTCGAAACGATGTTCAAACTCACATTAGTATTTCCGTCATGCAGCCATACAATGTACAAATAGCATGTATTTCATATCACTGGCTACATGGATCAGCTCCATCTCGTTAGCTTTTCATCAGTTGGTTATTGTTCTGTTGATGCACGTGACATATTTGGTGCAAGTTCCTGTCTTTCCAAAACACAATCTGTCCATTGGTTCAAGTTTTAACCATTTAACCTGTTAATGTGTGTTTATGATGAATATTGAATGCAAGTCACTAAACTACTCAAATACCTATACAAATATATACGTCATTCTGGGCCCCGTTCCTCAAAGCAATCGTAGCGCTACGACAGTCGTAAGTCTATGTTAAAGTATGGGAGTTACGACTGTCGTAGCGCTACGATCGCTTTGAGGAACGGGGCCCTGGATTGAACTAACAGAATGCTGTCGCTAACATATATGTAACTAACGTCAATTAGTATTGTTATAGTAATTGTTATACTGCTATTCATCTATTCCTCAATTCAGTTTGAACACGAATCCATCACTTGGTTACATGGACATGTGCTTTGCTATGTTTTGCGCAACCCAAATATCCAGTCGCTGTGCCCGCTGCCACGGATGCAGCCGCGCAAACAGAACCTTTTTTAGATAAAAATTATCAACAATTAATAGACTTACATCTGATTAATATGGAGACATTTGTTTTAATCACGGTTTGCCGGTTAACTTGATGCCTAGTTTGAAATCTCTGATCAAGTTTATGCACCGTTATAAAACATGTTTCTCTCGACACTTTTCTTATTGGAGACTGAAACAGCATCACATTGCGGGCTGTCTAACGGCATTATGGGGCTTTGGATTGGTCTCCCCACTGTTACGACATATAGTTAACACTCATTATACTATAGCCTTGGGAGGGTTTACATAATATACACCTTTTATTGGCGCTTTAGGCCATTTGTATTATCCGGTTCATGATGATTTTATGAAAACATTTTATCTGAAAGAGAGACACTATCTGACTGACTGACTGACTGAGTTTGGTTTTAGCAATATTCCAGCAATATCACGGAGGGGGGACACCAGAAATGGGCTTCACTTATTGTACCCATGTGGGGATTCGAACCCGGGTCTTCGGCGTGACGAGCCAACGCTTTAACCACTAGACTACCCCACCGCCCCAGACAGTATCTGAACTTGTATATATTGTACCACACATTTTTGAAAATGTTCTGTCTATTTCTCCCTTTTCTGCACTTAGTGCAAAATACCCCAGCCAGATGCTACTTTATGCGTCGACCTGTCAGTCGGTTTATGATAGCCTACCAGTCATACACATACATCGTTCTGTTATGATGGAAACAAATCATACATGGGACAAGGTTTGGTAACAAACTTTAAGGATCTAACAAATAACTAAGAACGGATATTAGTTTCTAGCGATAATAGCCTTGGAAACAAGAACTAGATAAACCGAATCCGTACGAGGTTCGACCGAGATCACATATTCCCTTTGAAATGTAGAAGAAAAAGAAAATTAGTTTATTTCCGTGTCACATTTTCTAGACATACATATGCATTTCGTCGACCAGTTGAAGACAATATCCAGCCTTTCAGGTCTACGAGACACGATTATACATTAAAATTGCGTTAAAATAAAACTGTATAAAGTGTAAAACTCATAAAATACTTTGTGGCAATATCACCAAGATTATGATACATAAAAATACATAACTATACAGAACAATGGCACCTTGTGTATTGCTAGGACGTTGGGAATGTCATACAAAAATAACACTATTGTAAACGTTGTGATTGTGGCTACTTATCCTAGGAATAATGAATTCCGTTTTATTGTGTGAGCCAATTAATCGGTAGACATTTCCAGACCGTGCAGTTTCCATTGTCTCGGAGCACTGATCCATGGACACCGGCATAAGAAGATGAACTTTAGTATGATATCGTGCACGAATCGGTAGAGGGTTTGCACAAAACAGACACATCCTGATTTCACTGTATGAAGTTTCTAGTGTGAGGAGAGAATGTGCGCAGATAGTGGATTTGCATTTCGTGGACTTGAGCTTCTAATGCCACAATGAGTGACCTGCGATAATGTACGAGGGGCGATCAAAAAGTATGTAGAATCACCAAGAAAACGATACAAATGCAGTTATATTTATGTTTTGTTTTTCTACATATTATCTGCCAACCCCAAGCAATTTGGTTTTGCTATGTTACAGTCTCACGATCCCCATTTTGCTTGACCTTTCATCTTGGTAAGACGCAAAATCTACAATAAATGCATTGTAGATGCAAGAACACAACTCGAAAACTCGCATCGACAGGGATTTATTAATGTTACGATTTTCGGTAGTCGGTGACAAGTCATTGGCTTATTATCGTTGACATGACTCGGTCCATCGATGAGGTTTAAGAAACTAAAAGAAACAAAATGATTCTTTTAGCTAATACATCAATTACAGCATTTAAATATAACTTTTCTGAATTTTCAAATATAGGATTTCATAATTATCAAATATAGCTATTCAAAATTGTTAGGTAAAACGTTTGAAGATTGTCCGACAACGCATTTGAGTAACATGCTTCAATAGCAGCTTTCTATCAAAATACACAATAATAATGGTCAAAATATTCCCATGATAACTCCAACAACATATACTATTCAAATGTCATATAAAGTTATACAATGTATGATTAAAAGTACTCACATTTGTGTTGCCATACGGAGAGATTTGCAGACAGCCAAGTGACCATGTGGATAACACAGTGAATCAACCTTTGCATGAAGATTTTGTGCAATGGTTAGGTCATGTGACCATCAATAATGAAAATGAGGCTATATATTTACTGATTAAATTTACAAAAGTTTTTGCCATTACGCTGGATTTGAACCCTAGCTCTTTTGATCACAAGTCTAATGTGTTAACCACTAGGCCACTGTACAATACACTCATTCATGCATGGTTTAACAATGCTGAACATTACTGAATATAACATAACTTGTATTTAGCATTAACATGCATCACAAACTTCAGGAAACAAAATGTGCAAGAAATATTTTGTGTCTTTGAGATTGATATAAGTCCCATAGAATCACACTTAGATATTAAAGTTCTATTCATAAAAAAGCAATTTGAAATGACAATTGTTTGTTAAAGTGACTCCGCCCTTCATGTTGACTGAAAGAGCTTGTTTTGTAGACACTACCCATCCCCTTTCAGGTGACGTAATCACTTATTCATGCATGATGCCAATGGTTCAAACTAAACACTGAATGGTCACACAAGTGTCAACTCACAATATATTGTAAACAGTACCAGCTTGAATATCTGGACACAATGTTTTAGGAAGATGAAATGGGGGTGTCCTTAAAAAACAGCCCTCGACTAAACATGAAATTAAGCAATCCAAATCTTTGACTGTTGATTATGACGGAAAGTCATCCAATACTATACTGAACATATTTTATATGATATACACTGAGGGCATACCATTATCCAAGAGGTACCAAATGACAGATTGTTTTTCATGTTCTGCAGTTTTGTTAGAAATATTATACCCCAATGTGTTGTGACGACAAATATCTGGTTAACCACATTACCCACACATGTGAAATTTTGGATATGACTTTGCTAACGATTCCTTCAAAATAAAATGGAAGCTTTTGAAACATTGGACATCGAGATTATAGTTTGTCTACGTACTTTTTGATCGACCCTCGTACAGTCTCTACATTCTACCTAGCACTACTTGTCCTAGGCCCCGTTCCTCAAAGCGATCGTAGCGATAAGGTGATCGTAACTCCCATACTTCAACATAGACTTACGACAGTCGTAGCGCTACGATCGCTTTGAGGAACGGGGCCCTGGTACACCCTTTTTAAAAACAATGGGCGCTGTATTGTCTTGTGTTCTGCGTGGATATAAAGTACTGTGACGTGACACAATCTAGTTATCCATTATATGGCCTTTTTCACAACTGAGCAGACATTTCCATCATTCTATAATTGTGCATTTTGTTTCAGGTAAACCATATATAAAGCCTAAACTCGAGTATGAAACTAAACCTGCAGTATTCCTACGGTCCCAGACAGCGGAGTTGGAGTGTGTGTACAGTGGATTGTGAGTGTAGTTCGTTTCATGATAGATCTCGTAGAATATATCAACAGTGTATGAAATAAGGCCCGTCCGACCGCCCGAGACGGTCTAGATTTCTGACGGACGGTCTAAATTTACAGCTCGTCAGCCCGATGGTCTGGTAAATTGTTTTTATCTTCCATACATCTGAGTAAATTCACCATATTTGGTCTGGTTAAATCCAGAACAAATAATTTTATCGACCAAGTAATTTTATAGACATCGGGGCTGGTAACTTCAAAATGTTACCAGCCCTGATGTCTGGCTGGATTTTTGGTTTATTTCATACACTGATATCAAGTGTTAATATTGACATGTTATTTGTATACAGGTATTTGTTCTGGTCAAAACTACACATAAATGCACCAGTTATCAGTTTTGCCTGCTAACAAACTGTTTTCCCAAATCAGTCCCCACTTCAGTTAGGATGTTTCCTCTCTCGACGAAGGAAGTATATGTATGCACAAATCGGTAACAGATGAACAAAATAAATGTGTCTATATAACCACTTACTATACTTGGACTATATACGCTTACACAAAGTAGGGGAACCTGAACTTTCAGTTTGGATAGGAAGTATAAGCGTTAACAAACTTTTCAAAGACAGACATCTTATGAACGCTGCACCATTTCTCTGTACACAACGCATGGGATGCACGTGCACAGCACAGTAGCCCCACACACGTGCATGGTGTGTCATTCTTGATTTTGACGGTTTTCAAGAAGGTCGATAAATCACAGTAGACCATTCATTTTGACAATCATCTTGCATCACACAGTTGTTAGTGTTTGTTTCCAACCGTTTTTTTATTTGAAAATGAAATCGTACCAATGCAAAGGAAGTGCAAGTGGTGATGCACTCTAAACACATTCATTGCTATCATATCAACATTTATTTACTCCGATATATCTCCCAATTTTTCAATAATGACGTTCTATTACTTTTTTTGAAGAGTATATATGGACGAAAACATTATTGATACACCTTCACCCCTTGCATAGTTTGTAAGAAGGAAATTACAAAAAAGCAAGAACGATAGACCCTTTCTATATTCATAAGAAAAATCTACCAAAAGTGGAATCGAATGTGCGTTCCGACTATATCATAAGCATGACGACTATATCATGAGTGGGGCGGTGGGGTAGCCTAATGGTTAAAGCGTTGGCCCGTCACGCCGAAGACCCGGGTTCGAATCCCCACATGGGCACAATGTGTGAAGCCCATTTCTGGTGTCCCCCTCCGTGATGTTGCTGGAATATAGCTAAAAGCGGCGTAAAACCAAACTCAGTCAGTCAGTATATCATGAGTATAAATTATTATGAAATAGTGACCATACAAAGCGTTCGCGAAACTTTAGCGTATCCTGCTCTCAAGCACATGCAGGGAGATATTTTGGGTGCATTTAATTTTCAAGATGTAAACCCCTACATGATCTTACATGAAGGAGCTTTGAGCAACACAAATATCTGGATTATTTTCTATGTACTCAATGATTCTATACCTGAAGAAATCACCTATTTAAACATTGACCTGCTTGTCAAATAAGTCCCTCAAATACAACATTACAAGTTACTGATACAGCAGCGTCAGAACCTTCTCGCATGTTGTCGTGTACGCTTTCTGAAATGTTTATTAGAATGTATACTGTATTTGAGAACATTGCGTCAAACCTTCTCGCATGTTGTCGTGTACGCTTTCTGAAATGTTTATTAGGATGAATACTGTATTTGAGAACATTGCGTCAAACCTTCTCGCATGTTGTCGTGTACGCTTTCTGAAATGTTTATTAGGATGTATACTGTATTTGAGAACATTGCGTCAAACCTTCTCGCATGTTGTCGTGTACGCTTTCTGAAATGTTTATTAGGATGTATACTGTATTTGAGAACATTGCGTCAAACCTTCTCGCATGTTGTCGTGTACGCTTTCTGAAATGTTTATTAGGATGAATACTGTATTTGAGAACATTGCGTCAAACCTTCTCGCATGTTGTCGTGTACGCTTTCTGAAATGTTTATTAGGATGTATACTGTATTTGAGAACATTGCGTCAAACCTTCTCGCATGTTGTCGTGTACGCTTTCTGAAATGTTTATTAGGATGAATACTGTATTTGAGAACATTGCGTCAAACCTTCTCGCATGTTGTCGTGTACGCTTTCTGAAATGTTTATTAGGATGTATACTGTATTTGAGAACATTGCGTCAAACCTTCTCGCATGCTGTCGTGTACGCTTTCTGAAATGTTTATTAGAATGAATACTGTATTTGAGAACATTGCGTCAGAACCTTTGCGTATGTTGTGTACACTTTCTGAAATGTTTATTAGGATGAATACTGTATTTGAGAACATTCACTTAACCTGTTTGTACCTGTGTTGTCAGCCCCCTCCCAACAGTCACATGGCAGAAGGACGGTAGCACCATCTCAGCAAGTACTAAATACGCCTTCGACAAGGACAACAGGAAACTGAAGATATTAAATCTGGTGGAGAATGACGAGGGCATGTACACATGCATCGGGACGAACTCTGCCGGCACAGTCCAAATATCCATCTTTCTGGATGTGACGTGTAAGTTCTTCTGCACTTTTGCCGGTTGTGTCTTTCTTGTTGCGCGGGTTGGTGCGGTAGCCCAGAGGTTAAAGCGTTTGCCCGTCACGCCGAAGACCCGGGTTCGATTCCCCACATGGGTACAATGCGTGAAGCCCATTTCTGGCGTCCCCCGCCGCGATATTGCGGGAATATTGCTAAAAGCGGCGTAAAACTAAATTCACTCACTTTTTCGCTGTGAATAGTTGCGGCCCTTAATTAAGTCACAATTATGATCCAATGTTTAGGGCTGGCTATCGATATACAGCATGAAGATCAATAATCGTTAGCTTAATATCGATCGATTATCGATAAATATTGGAAACATAACTTTGAGCAAAAATGGCACAACTGTCTGAAAGAAATGAACATATTTCACATTACTGGTGAGTAGTGTCATGTTTTTGCATGGATTATTAACAAAACAGAGTTCTGAACATAATTTAGAAGCAGGCTTGCTATTCTCGAAACGTTCGTAGCCCTATGAACACATTGGCTACGATCATGAATTCTTAGGGCTACGAACGTTTCGAGAATAAGGGCCCAGGTCATGATTATAGTTCTAAAATTGAATATTGTGTGAGAAAATAAAAACAACAACACTGTTTTCCATCACAAAAAGTTAATGTACGATATAATCGATAACACAAGTTTCATATCGATAATCGTCAACAATTCTTCCTATCGACGATATTTCCGATTATTTTAGCCAGCCCTACCTTGGTTTGGTAGCACCATATCAATACTGTGACAACTGAATGAAATACTAACGGGATCGGGTGGTCAGGGTTGCTAACTTAGTTGACACATATAATCGTGACCCGTGAAGATCAGGGTTAAAATGGGCCTTCAGTAACCCATGCTTGTCGTAAGAGGCGACTAACGGGATCGGGTGGTCAGGCTCACTGACGTGTTTGACACATGTCATCGGTTCCCAATTGCGCAGATCGATTCTCATGCTGTTGATCACTGGATCGTCTGGTCTAGACTCGAGTATTTACAGACCGCCACCATATAGCTGGAATATTGCTGAGTGCAGCGTAAAACTAAATTCACTCACTCACTCACGTATAATCGTATCCCAATTTTATCCTCATGATGCTGTACACAGGATTGTTTGGTCCAGACTCGACTATGTACAGAATGGTGCAATGTAGCGGGAATATTACTGAGTGTGGCGTTAAGCAACAAACAAACAAAGAATGAAACACTGTTCATTGTTGTGTTAACTGCCACTTGACATCACCACAAGGTGGTCTGACTTGTCTTCCATGGCCATTCAAATATCATATGCAGTGAAAGTGGGGTTACTTTAGCCTGTCACGAAGCGTCTACGGGTGTCTATCTCAACATGGTGTAACAGACTGATCAATTTGGGTAATAGGGCCCAGATGGATGAACAAATACGAGGTATTTGTTTTCGGTATTTAATTTAACACATTCCCCAATTTCTCTTGATATTTAAGATTAAGTGTGAGACGAAATTCCGTCCTCTGTGTTTCAGCTGGCCCAGTACAGATCCCCCAATTTCTATCGATCTTTTGGATTAAGTGTGAGACTAAAATCTGTCTTCTGTGTTTCTGCTGGCCCAATACAGATTCCCCAATTTCTGTCTATATTTTGGATTAAGTGTGAGACTAAAGTCTGTCCTCTGTGTTTCAGCTGGCCCAATACAGATCCCCCAATTTCTGTCTATATTTTGGATTAAGCGTGAGACTAAAGTCTGTCCTCTGTGTTTCAGCTGGCCCAATACAGATCCCCCATTTCTGTCTATATTTTGGATTAAGTGTGAGACTAAAGTCTGTCTTCTGTGTTTCAGCTGGCCCAATACAGATTCCCCCAATACTGTCTATATTTTGGATTAAGTGTGAGACTAAAGTCTATCTTCTGTGTTTCAGCTGGCCCAGTACAGATCCCCCAATTTCTGTCTATATTTTGGATTAAGCGTGAGACTAAAGTCTGTATTCTGTGTTTCAGCTGGCCCAATACATATCCCCCAATTTCTGTCTATATTTTGGATTAAGTGTGAGACTAAAGTCTATCTTCTTTGTTTCAGCTGGCCCAATACAGATCCCCCAATTTCTGACTATATTTTGGATTAAGTGTGAGACTAAAGTCTGTCTTCTGTGTTTCAGCTGGCCCAATACAGATCCCCCAAATTTCTGTCTATATTTTGGATTAAGCGTGAGACTAAAGTCTGTCTTCTGTGTTTCAGCTGGCCCAATACAGATCCCCCAATTTCTGTCTATATTTTGGATTAAGTGTGAGACTAAAGTCTGTCTTCTGTGTTTCAGCTGGCCCAATACAGATCCCCCAATTTCTGTCTATATTTTGGATTAAGTGTGAGACTAAAGTCTGTCTTCTGTGTTTCAGCTGGCCCAATACAGATCCCCCAAATTTCTGTCTATATTTTGGATTAAGCGTGAGACTAAAGTCTGTCTTCTGTGTTTCAGCTGGCCCAATACAGATCCCCCAATTTCTGTCTATATTTTGGATTAAGCGTGAGACTAAAATCTGTCTTCTGGCCCAATACAGATTCCCCAATTTCTGTCTTCTTTGTTTCAGCTGGCCCAATATGGGAGATGGCTTTAAGTGACCAAACTGTACCAGCAGGCAGGGATGCCGTCTTTTACTGTAAGTCCCGGGCTGCCTTAGGGGAGGATCTCCTTCCCCAACCCGACTGGTACATCAATGGGAATCCAATTGACATACAAAATCCTCCAGGTAAGACTCGTATTGTCAATCTGTATTCAAATTGTATTAGTTTAGTATTTAACGGATTGTGAAACCCCATTTCAGATCTAATTCAATCGTTTGTTCACATGTGATCGGTGGCGTTTGAGGCGCAATATATATATTGAATATATTTTCTGACATGTCTTGTCACGCTAACGATGTAAAAAACCCAAACCATTATTTTCCCTGTATTGTGTGGAAGATATCGATTACTATAAGAAGATTTGGTTTAGTTTGATATTTGTTAAACGCTGCAGTCAGCAATATTCCAGCTATTTGGCGGCTGTCTGTAAATAATCGAGTCTGGTGCAGACAATCCAGTGATCAACAGCATGAACATCGATCTACACAACTGAGATAAGATGACATGTGTCACCAAGTCAGCGAGCCTGACCACCCGGTCCTGCTAATCGCCTCATACAAGCATGGGTTGCTGAAGAGCAATTCTAACCCGGATCTTCTTCTAACCCGGCTGCTAGAAAGAGTGAAAAATCATCAGTGGTCGGCACCGTGGAAACTAAAAGCCCAATTCTCTTTTTTACTCTCCCTTTCTCTCTCTCACACAAATCAAGATAATTATTTCAAATATATCATCCCTTTGTAGGTAACGGCAAATTTCAGTTCAGTGATGGCGGAAAGGCGTTAACCGTCATAGGTCTACAGAAACCGGACGACATCCAGTGTTTCCAATGCAACGTGAGCAACACAATAGGATATGAGTTTGCTAATGGTTGCCTCAACATCATTGGTAAGTAGTAGGACTTTTACGGGTCAACATAATTACAATTGAAACGTTTATTGCTGGAGTAAAATAGTTACTTTACTTACTGTTATTCATTCGCAAGAAGTAATATATGTCTTCAAACTTACTGAGCTTGCACACAAACACACATTTACAGGTCAATGTATATACCAGTCTTAAATCGATTATTCCATGACAGTTTCTTGACGTCATTCAAAGAACAAAGATGTTTATTGTACAAAGGCCTCCGGCCCATACATGTGTTACATATACATTATGCAATTCTAGTAATTATTCCATCCACAAATTATCTAAATCTTACTTTACGATGGACACAACACTGTTATCAGAATCAATATAATATTATTCAAAGTTATTTAATTCGTGCCATGTGTTCTATTTTCTTGAAATTCCATCCAATGTTCTTTTAACATGTTAAGAATCAATATAATATTTCTGTTATTTGCCATGTTACTATTTTATGTTCAATGTATACACACATAAAGAAAATATATAAATATAGGCACACAGCGTCTTTATACATAAATACAAGTGTGAACATAGCAAGTGTTGGAGACAATCAAACGCTCATGAACGTACCAGGCGACGTGACGTCATTGATGGTGGCCTATGGACTTGCAATGTGTTACTGCACGTGCATCCCGTGCAGCCGCACACGACATGTGAAACTCAGAAATTGCAGTCACTGTCGAAAGCTTGATCTTTGGTCATTCAAACGTTCACAAATTCACATGAGAAGTCACATGCACATCATGCTAAGATTAACATCTGCTCAACCTCAAGAAGCTATTGGAATGGTTCGAGCAAGAATGAGCAAACAACAGATGGCAGCACGTTTCCAATGCCATCGTAACACGATATCTGCATTGATCAGGCGTTATCGAAACAGTAATGACGTCAGCGACCATCCACGTTCTGGGCGTCCCCGACGTAACGACGCCAAGACAGGACAGATGGATTCGGGTGACTCATCTCAGACACAGGTTCCAGACGGCAGTGACCACGTCCTAAACCATTCCCCAGGTCTTCAATGCTCATTTGGTAGCCTCTGTGCGTCGTCGATGCACTGCTGTGCTTCACGCACATGGTCGTCATACCCGTTATTGACTTTGTGACTTGGTCATGTGACCACCTTCTCGATTTTGAACTTCTGACGTCATTGTTACGGATTTTGTTCATGTTCTTTTGACATTTTGTTGTGGTCCGATACTTCAGCTTATACAATGTCTCTATCATTTCGTCTTTTCTGTGTTGTATTTTAATTCTGAAGGAATTTTCTGTGCGCACAGTTTCTTTATGCAGTTAGTATAGTTATATGTTGTTTGAAAATAGAATATTCAAGCCACGTTGCTAACTGGGATATGATTTCACATTAAGATATTTCTTCCAGAACCAATCGTAATATCTGAGCGTCCCCCGCCAGTTCAGGAAATCGCGAAGGGCGATCGCGTGAACCTGACAGTGAAAGCTACAACTGATCCAGGCTATACTTTGAGAGAGAGATGGCACTTCAAGAATCAAACCTACGAAAACAATCTGCCTCCCCATGTGATTTACAACACGGCCACCCAGGAAGCCTATATCGACACGTCAGGTCTCACTGACGCTGAGTTTGAAGGGGTCATTGGCACATACTACCGGGAACTGTATCACCAATACGAAAGCTACACTGTAACAATTGAAGTCAAACCGAAGGGTGGAGGTTGGTGGAGCTCAAATTACATTAATCTGGTTCATTTGTTTCCTGTGTATATTTCGCCTCTCCTTTGTGAAAATGCAGTGCTACATTATCTTGCGTATTATTCAGTGTGGAATTTATTATTCTAATATTTTGAAAGTCGATCGTGCAAATAAATGTTGAAAGATATAACGTGACATTCTTTGCAATTTCTTGAAAACCTTAATTCGTCAGCTGTAGTGAAACTTGTCCGTGTTGATCTAGTGTTTACACGAAAACAATGTTCCTTGATCTTGTGACTACTATCAGGACAATTCTGAACATTGTAATTGTTTTTAACATCAATTTTGTCTACGTGCAATACTATTTTCTTTTTGTTTTAATCGTTTTGTATACAGATAGGTAAAGGGAAGAGGATAGTTTTGTCTTAAATACATTCATTCATTTATTCATGCTTTCATCGACTTCATATATTTGATAGCGATTCATAAACGCATGGTCATGTTATAGTAGGAATCTCATGTTGTCGAGTGTGCTTTTAGCAGCTATTTCTATGACTATGAAAATGGTTTTGCCGCGTTTATCTTTTACGATATGATCGGAAACGTACAATTGATATATTTTCCATTTCCTAATATTTGACATATACTTTGTGACATATTAACAGATATATGTTTTTTCTGTAAATAAGAACATTCACATACATAGAGTACTTGTATGATCTCACTGGAACTAAGAATGTTTACACTTCACCTGCAGTTATTATTTTCGATGTTTTAACTCTCCATGCGTTTGTCAGATGGTGGCCTTGCAGCCGCAGCCTTCCCGTGGTGGTGGATCGTAGTGGTCATACTCCTCCTCATCCTCCTCATCGTTATCTTCCTCCTCTGCTTCTGCTGCAAGCGGAAACAGGATGAAGGCGCCTACAAAGGTAAGCTGGCGGATTTACAGTGGTGCATGAAGTAACTCTTTGTATGTTTTTATTATGATATCCCATTTGTCTCTGTAACTAAAGATAACCTTGACAGATAAACACTTGTCAGGTTGGTTATATTATACTCTGTTCTGGTAACAGAGTAATTACTCGTGTAAGGGCTCATACAGACAAAATGGCCATGTGCACTTAAAAGAACCCACGAATCCAATGGTAAATGACCAGACGGTGGCCACATGAATACGAGCAAACACCTAATGCGAGTACAGCAACGTGCAGTAAACATTGACAAAGTACTGTGACTATGTGTCCCAGTCCACCCAGCTCTGAATGGGTACCTCTTAAGGATGGGAAAGCAACATGAACCTGGTACGCCTAGTGGCTGCAAGAGCTGTATGGTCCCTAGGGAGTCGAGAGTGATAATACGAAGTGCCGCTGAGATTCACATCCAAAATCAAAAGCGCCTGTGTGCAGCCTAGCTGGAACTCGGCGCTACATAAATGGATTATAAAAATGATAATATGCGGCGTGGAATCCAGCGCTATATAAGTGGTCATATCTATTTATTTATCCAGATGGGTCACCGTTTTTATATATCCCTCACGTATATACCCGTTATCTGTCACGTTTCTTGATGGAGGATACACCGAACTATCTCTGTTTCTTACATATGGAACTGAGGTCACACGCATTTGAATTTCTTTTCATTCTGTTGTGAAGGGTTTCATGTTTTATATTTTAGTCTATGCAAAAGAGGTGAACGCCGTCTACCTTGACCCGGACCAAGACTTAGAGGACCACAAGTTCCACAATGTTGCCAGAATAGAGTTCGTATTTCTATTTATTATATATGATCAACCCAATTGTGTGGTGTGTGTGTGTGTGTGTGTGTGTGTCTCTCTCTCTCTCTCTCTCTCTCTCTCTCTCTCTCTCTCTCTCTCTCTCTCTCTTATCACGAGGTGATGGACTAGTTCATACAGAGTCTAGCTCTCTCTTATCACGAGGTGATGGTCTAGTTCATACAGAGTCTAGCTCTCTCTTATCACGAGGTGATGGTCTAGTTCATACAGAGTCTGACACTCTCTTATCACTAGGTGATGGTCTAGTTCATACAGAGTCTGACACTCTCTTATCACTAGGTGATGGTCTAGTTCATACAGGGTCTGACCGATGAGCGGACCACCTGAGAAAAAGCACTTACATGTACTTAAACTAGTTGAGTGAGTTGACTTTTACATCGTTCGTAGTAACGTGGCAAGATAAGAGCCATATCTTGAGTCGATGTTAACCCTCATTTCACCTCTCCTATCACTATCTGTTGCAGGCTTGAGGAAGACGATACGTTCACCAAGAAGAAACGACCAGCCAGTAACGCTGCTTACGAGGTCAATGATGATGAGCCTGACTCAACGGATAATTACAGAAATAGAAGAGATCCTAGTGGTAAATATAACGCCGGTTTTTTCAGTGACGACGCCCGTTATCCTAATGCTGGACGATATGCACATCAAGAAAGTCAAGCTTAACATCAAGATCAAGAAACCTTAGCATAGCATTATCTACTGGATACAATGGCATCCATTACGTTCATTTATCGATGGGTGCAGTGTAATTACATCCAATGTGTCTTCAATGATATTCTCTCACCCACCTGACAATGGTACAGAAACAGTCATGCTGGAAACCTTATCTTGGTAGATCCGCCTCCATCATACACCTTGAACTTTATGAGGAGAGTCATACACCAAATCATGACTTAAACGTAGACTAGATTGCCAATCTATCTGGACTAACATGTTAAAGAGGGAATCATTAACAAGATGACACCCGGTGTCATAAGTGTGTAGAATCTCAACAAACATAATGACAAAGACAGGAGTGCGATGATTCAAGTAAAACATACGCGCACAGATTCATCCAGTGTGATTCAAGACTCGATTCATTTATTTAGACGTCTGTGCTTTACAATACGTACTTCCTGAGAAGTAGTCAGGGCCCTTATTCTCGAAGCGTTCGTAGCGCTACGAACTTTTTAAGCCCATTCTTAACACATTGGCTACGATCAAAGTTAAGAATTCTTAGGGCTAGAATAAGGACCCAGGTTCATAGTTGCAGAGTAAAGTGAAAGTGTATTTAAGACACCAGATGTCTGACGACGATAATGTATCAACTCTATTGTTGTAATGAGAGCAGGATATGCTGAACCATTTCCCGAACACCTGGTGTCATCACCGATTTTCAGTGATCGATTCATATAATTTTCATCTCTAAAATGTCTCTTACAACCAATGAAATCTGTTTTGGCTTGTAACTGAGACAAATCGCCATTGTCTGGCGTTGTATTGAATCACATGTATTACCATCTGTAATACGTTTGATCAGGTTTATCAGATATACCTGACTTTCAAACCCGTATATACCCGTATTGGGACGTTGTTATCAGTGGTCAAATTTTGCTTCAATTTTTGGGTTCGTCTGCAATTGATTCTAAGTGTGAAATAATACTCGACAATTCTGGTTATCAACTAACTCATCGTCTAGTACGCTTGTCTACCTTATAGTAGTCATCTTTTATAAACATTAAAAAGCTTACTAAATATATAATCTTACTAGATGTTGTATACAGTCACAGTGCCTATTAACATGCACCTGAAATATGTAACACACTTACAAAATGCAGACTAGCTACTCATTTTGTTTTATCAGATTGCTGATCTCAAGAAACCAACAGGCTATGAAAATTGTATTGAGGCGTTGGAACGGTGATACAAGCTACAGTATTATCTGTGGATTTGAATACATTTGGAAGTTAATAAGTGTCATTCGTTGAAACAGTCCTTTGATCGTTGTATATAATGTATCTTTACCATTTACCATTAACAATCATCGTGTCTATTCATAAGCGGAGATAATTCTGTTTTCAATAATGTGTTCAGTAGAACATATGTCTGTCTCTTTAATATGTCTCGCTAACCATATAGCAAACAAATCACTTCTCCCTGCAAGTCGTGTACGTATCATTTAGCATTTGATTTGTGTATCTACGTGTGTTTGTATGTTGAAAACACGTTTGTTTCATGTCCGTAAGTAAGTCCCTGGAATATAGTATAAATCTACATTCTGGCATTATGCCTATATATAAATCTTCAAGGTTACGTATCTATTATGTTTGTGTAGAGACATATATTTTCTTCGATAGCAATGTCATCCTTTCAATGTATATCCTAATGTGACGACATTCCTTGGTGTGCATGACATTTAACATTTATGGATTGAAGGCTAATTATATAATTCTTCACAAGAAAACGAGTTTTGATTAATGTGTGCTTTGATAAATGACTCGAACGAATCTTCTATAGCTTGCTGTTCGCTTCTAACATGGCCTGGCAACTGTCTTACTGCCTGTTTATCTAGAGAGGCCCCTGCTGCCCCAGCAACCTGCACAGATGGACTAGTGGGTACTCATCGGCACGGTGAAAACTAATACTACTAGTGCAACGGGTACCTCTTGTAGTTGAACAACTAACGGCAGAAAAGCACTACTTACAAGTTCATGTAGTAAAACATAATTCATCAACAAGACATTTACAACTTCTGCAAGTGGGAAAGTGAGTTTTACAAGTGACAATACTCACGGAAACGAACAACCGCCGCTTTGACAAACAACGGCGACTCTCCAACTACAACTTCTACTGTGCCATGAGAGTTTAAACACCAGCCCGTGTATCTGCTGTCATGACTTCACTGCCTCTATATACTGTAACTACTGCATCGCTTAACACCTATTGGAACTAGATCATGCTATACATCAACGGCAAATACCAGGTTCGGTACATCTACCACAAGTGCATCGTTCCGCTCATCTAGTGCAACGGCTTACATCTAGTGTAATGACTTCACGGCTTACATCTAGTGTAATGACTTCACGGCTTACATCTAGTGCAACAACTTCTCGGCTAACGTCTACTGCAACTTGAAGGTGATGTACATCCACAACAGCGATTAAGCTCGTCGCTCCGTTCATCTGCTGCAATTTCTTTACGGATTACACGTGCTGCAACCACTTCCTGGGGACAATCTACTGCAACCACTTCTTGCCGATAATCTACTGCAACCACTTCCTGCGGATAATCTACTGCAACCACTTCATGCCGATAATCTACTGCAACCAATCTACTGCAACCACTTCATGCCGATAATCTACTGCAACCACTTCCTGGGGATAATCTACTGCAACCACTTCATGCCGATAATCTACTGCAACCATTTCCTTGCGATAATATGTTGCAACCACTTCATGCCGATAATATGCTGCAACCACTTCATGCCGATAATCTACTGCAACTAGTATATGCCGTACTGTTACATCTACTTCATGTGTTAAGATTGGTGCTGTAATCAACTATGCAAATTATATCATATTATTGTTTGATTAATCATGACAGGTTGTATCCTTGTTACATAGACCTAGTTCTGTTTCTTGGTTATATGTTTGTATGTATGTATATAATAAATATTTGTACACTGCCATCAGGTTAATTTTGTGCCCTCCGTGTATATTTACTGTTATTTATTACATGTTATCATACACGTGCGAAAGGTGTTAACCTCCAGATGACATCGTAGTGCTGATTGTCTGTTTTAGATGTTTCATTTTCACCAATCATTGTGCAATGCTTCGTAGGCTTAAGGTCAATCAGTATTACTCCGCATGATAGCTTTATTTCCACGATGTGTAAGTTCATTCTCAGACCTTTCTTATCAACTATACTTCCAAACGCGTTATTCAAATAAACCTGATTTGTTACATTTTTATTTGCCCTTTTCTATTTCATTCTCTTCTTTTGTTTTGTTCGGGAGTTTTGGTTTGAATTCATTGCACTTATGCTCCGTTATTGAAGCCCATGAAAAGCACTGAAACATTGCCAGAATAACAGTATCATGGCCGCTTCATTTCCGGATCCGGGTTTGAATTGGCCTTCAGTAACCCATGCTTGTCGTAAGAGGCGACTAACGGGATCGGGTGGTCAGGCTCGCTGACTTGGTTGACAAATGTCATCGTATCTCAATTTCGTAGATCGATGCTCATGCTGTTGTTCACTGGATTGTCTGGTCCAGATTCGATTATTTATAGCTAAGATACATAGCGTTCACTAACATGAACGCTCATGTTAGTGAACGCTATGTATCTTAGCTAGATTATTTACAGACCGCCGCCATAAAACGTAAAACTAAACTCAGTCAATCATACGATCTTGTGTAATATGTTTAACGACAGGAGAATTCAATAGGGTATTATCTTCTGGAACTGTTTGCTGGACATTTGCACTGGAAGTCTCGATTATTGCTAGGACATTTGTTTTGAGACTAATGTCGTCATTATTTTGACTTCGATTCAGAGTTGCCAGATTCAGCTCTAGTCCTGTGTTTGGTGTTATTGTGGCAGATAATCAGAAGTGGATTAGCGAGGGTTTACACCACAGTTTGCAACAGTCTAGTGATGTCAAGGACGGCGTGCCAGGAGTGGCTTCAAACAGTGCATCCATTTTGGGAGTCGAACACGGACCTAAGACTTGTCGGGCAAACGCCTTTACCAATGCCAACCCAAGTCTTTAAAGTTCAACTAATAAGTCCCAATCGTGGCAATATATGTTGATATGATATATGTCTTGCTCGTGCGACCTGTGCTCCATTCAGCCCTGTGTGGATTGTTGGGTGAGTGAGGGGTTTAACCCCAAAGTATTTGCAAATATCATAGTAGTCTGTTTATTAGTACAATATCATATTACATGCAATACACTTAGCAGTCGGGGAAAGATATATCTAGATCCACAGTTACAGACAAAAGCAATTAACACATGACGACACTGCCCGTCCTGATGTCCATGTCCTGTGTAGCGCCTTGCAGTGCCTTAGGGGCCAGGGGTAGCCTAGTGGTTAAGGCGTTCGCTCGTCACGCCGAAAACCCGGGTTCGATCCCCATATGGGCACTATATGTTAAGTCCATTTCTGGTGTCCCCCGCCGTGATATTGCTGGAATATTGCTAAAAGCGGCGTAAAACTAAACTCACTCACTCACTTGCAGTGCCTTAATGCTTTATACGATATTGAAACATTGGGACATCAATCCCAATCAGTAACATATCAACAGAGAGATAGAAATAGAAGCGACAAAACCCTTTCCACCTTCATAAATAATCTCTGCTAAAAGCAGAGTCGATTGTACAATTGTGACTATATCATGAGCATATAATTTGTTTCAGTAGCATCAGAGCTGCATGGAACGTCCTTAATGGCATGCACAATAAAATATCAGCAAGCATAAAAAAAAAGGATTTGGAATGATTAAACCCTAACTTGGGTTGTAATTTGTCTCAAGGCTTATCTCTATGTAAGGGTGAAAGGAAACGACCAGCTATTGCCAGGGCAGTATGACTACTGCGCATGTCAGGGTTGCGTTCCTGAAACAGCGTCATCAGCTGTACGGACAATTATTTTAACTGTTTAAATAATGTTATTGCCCCTGCTGAGCCTGACAGTTGTGGTTCAACAAATCCATACCAGTCACACAGGTCTTTCTTTGTGTCTTAGAACGCAATACGCCAGAACACCCAATAGGGTGGACGTCACCAATAGTCCAACGTTCATTCCCGTCATCTTCAGCCTCCAGTCAACAATATCGTACAATGTACAAGCCCCGGGTTTCCCGTACGAGTTCCTCCAGATAATACAGGTAGTGTCGATAATCTTCCCATAGAGTATCGGGGCCGGAATGAAGGCTGGAAACAAAGCTGATGTTTAAAAACTCGCTAGATAGTGCAGTTGAGGACGAATTTCGTACGTAACAATAGCTTTCCCTTAGACGTGATAGGATCTGTTTCCTGAGATTCAATATTTCAGCCTAATATCCGGTCTGGTTTAATTGACGACAGATAGAAAGTAATAAACGTCCACAAGGCGTGATTTTATGTAGAAAATGCGAAAAAGTGACCCAACTTCACTGAAATGCCACAGCTGTCAACCGAACAACGATAACGGGCGTCCTGGATACACTATAGACACCAGATACCACCAGTGTACATATTGCGTGTGAGGTTTTGCGGGGAGTAGTCATACACGTTATTAATGTGACGTGTGGTTGAACAATTTTATACGTGTGTGCCCCTTACCCAAATCGGTTTTAGCTACCCACCTCGATTCGGGCAACTGCTATGCCAATATCGTTTGCGATATGAATTTTAAATCGTTTGAATATATTTACTTCAAGCGTCTATCGTTTGTGGATTTACAGTAGCCTGGGTGCCATTCCACTAACCGATCTTAGCCCTATGCCAATCGTAAACCCCTAAAATCCCAATCTTAGTGTGACGTTACGATCGGCTTACCGTTCCACTAACCAATCTTACCTAAGTCAATCGTAAAGTTAAGATTCAAAGTCTACGTTGCTCATGACCAACTTAGGATAGCTAAAATCAATCGTAGAGAAACCAAAATGGTGGCTTTCCTATTCTATGTGAAAAATAAGAGCTAGCATTTCACCGTGAGCGTCCCCTAAAATCCCCCATGAAATGAATTTGTATATTTCTGTGATGTAAACAAACACTGCACTGAAGCCTTACAAATGTCAGGCCAGTCTGACCACTGTCGTCATGGGAACACAACCGAGCGAGTCGGTGTAACACATTTGTACAACAATATTGCAACGTCATGGTTAAGAATTGGGACAGCCATGAAGTGAACAATGTTCTGAAGCAAAAAGATACAAATATGTTTGATTTCACTGCGCATATTTGGTGGGGTTTCTAAAGGCAAGCCGCGTATTATTCAAGACCACTGACAGATTCTACATACGTTATAGCCTCGTCACGCCTTGTTTATTGTGATTGACAAGGTTCAGGCACATATTAAAAGCTCTGACACAATTGTCATTTTTAAAGTCCAGACTTAAAACCAGTTCTCCGTATATTACTTATAATCTCGGCTGTAAATATTCTCGTGTAAATTATCTGTACTCAGCGCTTTGAGCATGCCCAAGGATGTGGAATAGGCGCACTATAAATATGCATTTATTATTATTATATTATGCCTGATACCCAGCGTTCACACGCACTTGCACCTGAAACCAAGGTGCTCACTACCCTAATATTTTGCTCTAGGTTTTTTCTCCACGTTTACACTTGGTTGGAAAAATACCCATGTAGGACCTGGTTAGAATAGTGAACTTCAGTAACCCATGCTTGTCGTAAGAGGCCATTAACGGGATCGGGTGGTCAGACTCGCTGACTTGGTTGACACATGTCATCGGTTCCCAAATGCGCAGATCGATGCTCATGCTGTTGATCACTGTATTGTCTGGTCCAGACTCGATTATTTATAGCTAAGATACATAGCGTTCACTAACATGAACGCTCATGTTAGTGAACGCTATGCATCTTAGCTAGATTATTTACAGATCGCCGCCATATAGCTGGACTCACTCACACTCAGTTGGTTCGTAAACTACTTCCATCATTTGCAAGGCTATGCAAAGGGAGATAACTAGTGCCTCGCATTCCTTTATCTCTCTTGAAATATTTCTTGAAAATGAAAACCAAGAACAAACACCATGCAGTCACTGAGATTGTTAATGACTGTGTGGAATATGTCATGTGTGACTGGACCCATGGCAAATTACCCTTTGGCTTGAATATTCAGAGATTAGCTGATCAACATGGTATTTACAACTGTAACCCAGTTGATCCTTCTGCTCCGCCTGTCACACCTCCGTGGCTTCTGCTGAAGCCTGGATTGAATTCTGAACTCAGTTTAATCGTGAATAAGAGAATGGACCAAAACATAATAAAAGTGATAACTCAAGACTTTCTGTCTGAAAATTATACTAATTTCACACATATATACACTGATGCATCGAAAGATCCATCCAATGATCGTACTGCTGGGGCTTTTTGGATACCCAATTTATCGATCGCTAAGGTGTTCAGATTCCCTGATTATCCTTCTGTTTTTGCAACTGAACTTTTGTCCATTTTGCAAGCATTGAGATGGGTAGATGAACGTGACCATGAAGCAATTATCTTTACAGATTCCATAGCAGCAATCAAAGCTATAGAAGCTGGTGCAAATAGATCTAGAGATGACATTGTTCATGAGATATTAAAGCTGGATACATCTTTAAACATGAAGTACATTGCATGCGACATTGTGTGGGCCCCAGCACATGTTGGAATACATGGGAATGAGATTGCAGATAATTTGGCCAAATCCGGGTTACAGTTTCCTGAAGTTGATTTATTTAAATTTCAACCAATCCCTAAAGATTATGAAAATGTTTTATCGAAATCTGTTACAAGGAGTTGGCAACAGTTGTGGGTACAGGTACTACCGGCCGACATATGTACAAACTTAGAACATCACTAAAATCTGGTCATAAAATTCGTCGTCGTAAAAGGCGTGATCAGGTTATTCTTTCACGTCTCAGACTTGGACACTGTGGGCTAAATGCTTACAGGAGTATTATAGATAAAACGGTCTCTTCTAAATGTGGCCATTGCAATTTGGAGACGCCTGAAAACATCGAACATTATCTAATTACATGCTCTGGGCATGACAACATAAGACATAATCTCAGAAGTGCTGTACTTGAGGTTGATGATGTATTTTCATTAGAAACAGTTTTGGGCCCCAATATCATGTATGGGTCTGTGCAACGGGCAGTTTTAGATTTTGTCTCGTCATCTGGAAAATATGATGTAATCTGGACAGGATCTCGAATGGCTTAGACAGATTTAGTTCTGTGGTTTTAAATCATTTTAACACTCTGTCATCTGAACCTTCTGCTTTTTTATTGAATGAGTATTCATGTTTCAGAAATGGAAGTGATTACTCAAGGTTTTTAATCCGTAACACAAAGCAGAGGTTATTCGACATACGTATACATCTATCCAAATTAATAGTGTTGTCGTTTCTTTTATCTTAACTAAACGATTCCTTTTGGCGATGAAATTACCTATGATTGTTTATTAAATCAAGTCAATGTGTTGGGCGCAAATAGGCCTCTTATTGGCCAACGTCGCCCTAAAACTATAAAACCAACCAACCATCCTCTATTATCTCTCGCACGAAAGAGTCTCGATCTAAGCTTGGATCGGATCGTAAGATCGGGACCGGCTACGATCGGCCTAAGATCGGTTAGTGGAACGGGTGTAACTGTTAGCTAAGACGATTGTAAAATTGGCGTAACTTGCTAAGATTGATCTTAGATAAGATCGGTTAGTGGAACGGCACCCTGATTTAAAACTACACTCGCAAAGTAAGTCACATACCAAGGAGCGATAACGAAAGTCCATAGATACTTGTTGCCATTGCCCTATCGCTTTCAGGGACGCTTCTGGAAAAACAGTGACACATATCACAGCTACAAGATGACACAAAGGCGAAATACATACATGACTTAAGAAGGAAGGTGTTTACATTGTCCTACAGGACTGGTAAACATACATGACTTAAGAAGGAAGGTGTTAACATTGTCCTACAGGACTGGTAAACATACATGACTTAAGAAGGAATGTGTTAACATTGTCCTACAGGACTGGTAAAGATACATGACTTAAGAAGGAATGTGTTAACATTGTCCTACAGGACTGGTAAACATACATGACTTAAGAAGGAATGTGTTAACAATAACCGCAGACAAGAAGTCCTCATACAGGACTGGTGTCAAGACAAAAAAGTAACCGCACACAATGGGCTTTGTATTGAAGTCTTCATACTTTCGACTTGGCGGTGGTCTGTAAATAATCGAGTCTGGACCAGACAATCCGGTGATCAACAGCATGCGCATCGGTCTACGCAATTGGGATGCTATGGCATGTGTTCACCAAGTCAGCAAACCTGACCACCCGATCCCGTTAGTCGCATGTTACGACAAGCTTGGATTGGTGAAGACCAGTTCTAGCCCGGACCTCCACATGTCCATTAGAATAAGATGTATACTGATACCTTCATACATATGAACTAAGTTTGTGATTATACCTGATTAAAACAAGATAGCTGGGCACAAGGGAGAATGAACCGACCACTGCATAGAGCAGTGTGAGCGCCATAAAGGGGTAGAGCTTGGTGCAGCCAGAGTCGCACATTCCCAACTCTACTGCCCCGCCTTCCTCGCCAGAACAGCCTCCATATGACTGAAACGACATTAGACTTGCAGTAATGTATAACAGCTTCATAACAACATATACACTGGACTTCAAGTAGGGTTCTACAGTTTCATAACATATACATTGAACTACAGCTTCATAAGAACATATACATTGGACTTTAAGTAGGGTTCTACAGCTTCATAAGAACATATACACTGGACTTCAAGTAGGGTTCTACAGCTTCATAAGAACATATACACTGGACTTCAAGTAGGGTTCTACAGCTTCATAAGAACATATACACTGGACTTCAAGTAGGGTTCTACAGCTTCATAAGAACATATACACTGGACTTCACTTCTACAGACAACATATACACTGGACTTCAAGTAGGGTTCTACAGCTTCATAGTATATACACTGGACTTCTACAGCTTCATAAGCAACATATACACTGGACTTCAAGTAGGGTTCTACAGCTTCATAACAACATATACATTGGACTTCAAGTAGGGTTCTACAGCTTCATAAGAACATATACATGGACTTCAAGTAGGGTTCTACAGCTTCATAAGAACATATACATTGGACTTCAAGTAGGGTTCTCTACAGCTTCATAAGAACATATACACTGGACTTCAAGTAGGGCTTCTACATATACACTTTCATAGGGTTCTAGAACATATACACTGGACTTCAAGTAGGGTTCTACAGCTTCACATATACACTTGGACTTCAAGTAGGGTTCTACAGCTTCATAAGAACATATACAACTTCAAGTAGGGTTCTACAGCTTCATAAGAACATATACACTGGACTTCAAGTAGGGTTCTACAGCTTCATAAGAACATATACACTGGACTTCAAGTAGGGTTCTACAGCTTCATAAGAACATACACTGGACTTCAAGTAGGGTTCTACAGCTTCATAAGAACATATACACTGGACTTCAAGTAGGGTTCTACAGCTTCATAAGAACATATACACTGGACTTCAAGTAGGGTTCTACAGCTTCATAAGAACATATACACTGGACTTCAAGTAGGGTTCTACAGCTTCATAAGAACATATACACTGGACTTCAAGTAGGGTTCTACAGCTTCATAACAACATATACACTGGACTTCAAGTAGGGTTCTACAGCTTCATAAGAACATATACATTGGACTTCAAGTAGGGTTCTACAGCTTCATAAGAACATATACATTGGACTTCAAGTAGGGTTCTACAGCTTCATAAGAACATATACACTGGACTTCAAGTAGGCTTCTACAGCTTCATAAGAACATATACACTGGACTTCAAGTAGGGTTTTACAGCTTCATAAGAACATATACACTGGACTTCAAGTAGGGTTCTACAGCTTCATAACAACACCAGAGGCTTGAAGCAGATGTACAGTAACAAAGGATTTGTGGAAGGGTAATACAGCTTTACACTAAGACATAGTAGGCAGTAGGGAGTCCGGTGTGAAACAGGGTCATACAGCCGTATAACAACACCAGACCTGCAGTTGGGTTGTATAGTTTTATACAAGCACTTGGCTTGCAGTTGGGTTATACATCTTGATAAACATACTTGGCCTGCATAGGGGTAATACATGGTATAACGACGACACGGGGGTACAGTAGGGTCATACAACATAATAACAACACAGGGCTTCCTGAAGGGTAATGCAGCTGTATAAAACACTGGCTTACAGCTGGATAATACCGCTCCAAACAACACTAGGCTTGAAATAGGGTTAATACATCTTAAACCAAACAAGGTCCTGCAGCTGGGTAATGCACTTGGTAACAAAACAAGGAGTACAGTTTGATCGGCATCATTTCAACATTAGTGAGTGAGTGAATGAGTTAGTGAGAGGATGAGTGAGTGAGTGAGTTAGTGAGTTAGTGAGTATGGTTTTCGCCGCTTTACCAATATTCCAGCAACTTACGGCGGTGGACACCAGAATTGGGCTGCACATATGCAGCCATGCGGGGAATCCAGTCAAGGTTCAGCGTGACAAGCGGACACTTTAACCATTAGGCTACCCCATCGCCCCATATTTTAACACTATGTTTGCGAAAAGGTAATACAGCTTCATTTTAAATTGACAGGATTCCAGTCAAGAATGGAATATTACCATCAGCGTATTAGTGATGCCACCGTGCATGTCGTGTTTGAGCGGTATTTGTAACACGACAGCTGTTGCTGGTCGATTTTTGTTTAATTTAGCATCATCGCATGACTGACGCATTGGTCATTCCTACATAACATATACTATTCACACTTTGCTAAGGATCAGATCATTGATTCAACAGAAAACTATTATGTGGGGTCTAATTTGGTTTAAATGTCTAAGCTTATTGTAAGCATGGATCGTAGGTTTTAGTATGTCACTGCATCTTGTGGATCCCATACCTGCTATTGACAGGTGTAGTGTGCTCGCCAATGACTCTCCATGATTTGCAAAATGGTTGATTGGTGCCATGAAAACCATTTTTATGTTACTCATGCATCAAGTGTATAAGGTTAGATTTAAGTGGCTGTTTGCCTAAAGAAGGGTTACCATATTATTATTTATCCAGTTTTAAATGGAGACAATTTCAAATTATAAATCTATGTTTAAGTAAAGTTGGGAATTTGTGTGATCCTTAGCAAAGTGTAAGTAGTATAGATCTTGATCTACAGTACCACTGACAAGTACTCACGCTATCAGTGGAACTGTGGCACCCGGCGTGGCATGGGGAGAAAAATGTGACATCGTTGCGGCAAACCGGAAGGAAGTCTGCACCCTCACTCTGGCAAGCAGTTGAGTTCAGAGTGCCATTTAATCTGGAGACCAGGTGACAATAATTATTCCATCGCGTGGTTAAGTTGTAACTCTCTCATCAACAAAATCCAAATCACTTAAAACAGACAAAGTGAGTTTTACCTGGTTTTACCTCGTCTCCGTCAGCACTCACCAACTTGATGTGTGAGCAAAGCCCTGAGTATTCTTCGTACCGTTTTGACGAAATATTATAACTGAACAAGCCTGGGAATTCTCGCACCGATTAAAGGACACAACACTGCACTAGATCATTCGTGCAACCTATTGGCATGTTCATGTTTCAGATGGATATGAAAGAATCTATTCGTGTACGAAATTATGAATACATATCTGTGCGTGGTTTTGAAGAGTATTTGAACCTAATGTTACTCCACAAAGACAACTAACCAAATCAAAACAAACTTACTTCATGTTTAGCCCAACTATGCGTTTGTTGGGGCATCCCATTGTCATATTTACGCTGTCAGTAATTGTGGACAGCAGCATGGCTCCAGTTGCAAATAAGAGGCACCCTCTGTGATCCATCTTAAAACGAGATACCACAGCCCCACCGAGAAAGCACCTAGCACCCAACTCCAATTTCCACTTAGCAGCATCACTCCTATACCTGACAATGCCAACGTTTTAAATTACATCAATACAAAGGATAGCGAGACCATTCGATCCACTCAAGACGGGAATTGTTCGGATAGTTCAGATTGAATGAAAGCAATTTAACGACACAGTCAGCAATAGTCCAGGTATTTCACTCTTGTGAGGAAATAATGACTGCGCAAGAGACATGGTGATGGAAGCATATGTTGTTTGATATTACTGACAGCGAGTACAGTGTGACTGTTCTTCAGATGAATTTGCTCCAACATATACAGTCTGCAATGTTAACAACAGAAACGACATTTCAAATCCACATGGAATCTCTGCTAAAAGCAGGGTCGATTGTACAATTCCGTGTTTGTGTTTGTTGGACGCGGCATTCAGTAGTATATTACAGCTGTACGACGCAGTATGGAAACAATCGAGTCTGGACCAGACAATCCGGACTGCACAAGATAAGATACGATACAATTTTTCATGACCTTTAGTAAGCAGTACATACAGCAATTTATTTCTATCAACGTAATCAAAAGCTTTTTTAAAATCGATAAAAGCACAATAAAATGTACCTTTTGGCTTACATAAATATTTTGAACACAATGCTTGTCATATGAATAGATCATCAACTGTTGAGTAATTTTGGCGGAAACCAGCTTGGCATTCTGATAAAAGATCATTTACATCTAACCAATTCTTAGGCGCTTTTCTGTAACAATAGTGAACAATTTACCTGTAACATTCAGAATAGAAATACCTCTATAATCGTTGGGGTCACCTCGTTTACCTGACTTAAACAAAGGCAAAATCATATCTACATTCCATGATTTTGGAAAATAGCCAGTATTTAAGATTCTATTGAAAAGAATTTTCAAATAAGGTACAATACAATTTCCCGACATCTTAAAAATTCAGGGGGTACTCCATCCTCACCTGCAGATTTACCACTTTTTAAAACTTTTTAGAGCATCTACTATTTCTCTGTCGGTTATTTCACCTGACACAAGATCATCCGTGAAAGGCAAATCATTACAATCCTCACAAGAATGTGAATTAATATACTGGGAAAAAGAACAATCAAAATCGTTTACATCAAAATTTTCAACTTTCGGATTTAACCAATTATTGAAATAATACAGTTACGTCTCACCGGAAATGGGTGGGGAAGTGTGCCAATTGCGCCAAGTACTCCAGTCAAAGATGACACAAAACAAAAGACAGTAATAATGTCATATTGTTATAAAAGTGGTCATGGTTATAAGACAGAAGTCATAGTGTTATAGTGCCAATTGCGCTTGGTTATAAGACAGAAATAATGTCATATGTTATAGAAGTCTTGGTTATAAGACAGTCAAAGTCATGGTTATGACAGAAATAATGTCAAGTGTTAAGAAGTCTTGGTTATAAGACAGAAATAATGTCATAGACAAAAAGACAGTAATAATGTCATATTGTTTGAAAGTTTTGGTTATAGGTTTGCAAGCCCAGACAGCACAGTCCAGATGACACCTAAAATGCAATCCACAGATTGAGATGGGTTGTTACCACCTCCACAGTGCAGGTAGAACGATTTTCTGGTTTTCTGGCTCCCTCACACCCTTGTAATGTGACAACATAGCCCCAAGGGATTGGCTGAACACTGTTGCTATGTAACCAATGGCACCTGTGACTTGAGTCCCTAAACCTAGCATATAATTTGTAAAAGGCAGAATATTGGGTTACTTGGCAAGGGACGGGGGCAAAATATCAAGTCTTTACAGTGTAAATCATGTACACATGTAAAAATGTCTATACCTAAACTGTGAAGCACAACGACGTAAAACATAGATCACACACAAACTGTACAGACCTATAAACATGCTTGATTGCCAGATTGGAACACTGAAGACGTGTTCCATGTACTTGGACCCAAAGACGATGAGGCCGAGTGCCCGTATGTTCAGTCCGACCATTGCCAGCAAGGTAAACAGGTAGACTGGATTTCTCAGCACTCGAAACACAGACTTAGGGACGTCTGAGAAAGGAGGAGTACATATATGGAACTTTATATGAAGGTGGGGATAGTTATGTGATGGTACATCGCGACCTCATAGGTGTTTTTGTGTAATGTGAGGTTGCGACAACGATGTCATCTCTTGGACGACGTCACGTCACAACAAAATGATGTCAAACGAGATGTGACTACGTACTTGTATAAGAGTGAGTGAGTGAATTGTGTTTTCCGCCATTTTTAGCAATATTCCAGCAATACCACGGCGGGGAACACCTGAAATGGGCTTCAGATATTGTATCCATGTGGGGAATCGAACCCGGCCGAGCAAACGCTTTTACCACTGGGCTACCACACCGCCCAACGTGTATATGAAACACATGCCAACAAACGTGATATATCTTATAAAGCTATAATTTGACATAGATTGACATTCAGATTCAAATGTTAAAAACAGGCGAGGCTGGGGTAGCGGAGACGATGACCCAAGTCTGGTCGTCCAAAATGCACACAAGTAGATGCTGTTCATAATAAGGTTGTGCTTGACCTATGTATTACAATCCATCATATTTGTCATACTATTGGGGTCAGTGTTGTGTCAACAGAGTTAATCACTCCAAATTAGACGCGTAGCAAGTCAATATTTTCGTGTAAGCCCGATAGGTTGCAAAGCTTTATATTAGATAGTATTGAGAGCTTGCCGAACCTTTTTAGCAACAATCATGTGTAAGCTCGGGCTTTTTTTCACAATGGTAGCTACGCCCCTGTTGAGCCTGCTTCGACAATATATCAGTGTGTGGTATCAAAGTTAACATCAGCTGGTGACACAGTCAATATGCATAAGAATTAGAAGCGATAAAACCCTCTCCACGTCCATAAGAAATCCTGCCAAAAGCAGAGTCGATGGCACAGTTGTGACGAAATCATGAGTATATTATAATTAATGTAAGTATTAACGAAAACGTGATCCGATGGTGAAAAACAATGCCCTCACAGTTATCTTTGTTTGTGCAAATTCTCTCAAACAATTATGACTTCCCATACACATACCCTTAACCTTCATCCAAAACGTCTGCTCCTCTGTCGGGGCCAGGGGTCGACTATTCTGTTGTTTAGGGTAGATGAACAACGGGACCGCAAGGGCAACGGAAATCACCCCCAGCACCAAGAAGCCAAGCCACCAAGCACCGATCCATCGTGGGTCGCGTCTCGTTAGCGTTGTGTCTATGATTAAAGTGGGATAATAGTAAGATGTAACAATACAAACACGAACATGCTCTATGGTCATTCTTGATGATGGCAAAGATAAATGTAAGACACAACGCTATCCTATATTTTTCGAAAAGGTGAGACCGGGTCATCGTGTCAACCGGAAAGCTAATCCCTGCCAGCAATGGTCACCCGAAGACGATACAGTGGATCCAGGCTTCCGTAGAGAATCTCTGGAATACTTTTCACGGCCGTGAGAATCATTCGGTACCACACAGCATTTCTCAAATATAAGTTTGTGAGTGAATGTTGTTTTAAATCACAACGGTAATATATCAGCTTTACAGTGGTCTGTAAATAATCAAATATTGGCAATATCGATACTATTGATAATATGAGCACCAATCCATGCTGGTGGAACTACGACGGTAAAGTCAGCCAGGACACGCCTTTCAACAACTCTAAAGTCATTTGATACGGAAGTTTTTAAAGCATTGGAGGTATTATGTTATATTAACTGCCTATGGTTCTCTTCGGGATCTACTCTGAAAAACGTAGTCACTGTTCACATGTTAAGCACTTACCGCTCAAGTCGACTGGTATAGCAGAGAAGATCCCACCCATTACAAATGCAACAGCCAGACCGAAGACTCCCAGAGTCAGGACTGAACCTTAAACATAAACACTGACATGCTCAATTAGACGCGAACAGAAACGGATACACTCTGAGGCGGACTGCTCCATCGTTTGATACCTTCTGCTTGTTTTAAGTATAACAATAAACGCTGTATGGAAAACTGGAGCATTGACACTGTGGTCTTTGAGTGAGAAATACTTGCGGGTCACCAAAAGAGTTGTTTGAAAGACTCAAATCAGATTTGTAGGGACTCCACAGTCAGACATGGACTCGTTCCCACTGTCATCATCAAGTTGACAGGTGATGTCAGTGAGTGAGTTTTACGCTGCTTTTAGCAATATTCCAGCAATATCATGGTGGGGGGACACCAGAAATGGGCTTCACACATTGTACCCGGGTTTTCGGTCTGACGAGCGAACGCCTTAACCCCTCGGCTACTCAACCGCCCAGGTAACGTGGTAACGTATCAGTTATTTTATTGAAAACAAATAATTATTTGAAAAAGGAAGCGTTAACTATTTATATGTGTTCTCGTCGCTATATGCCTGCCATATACATAATGATCGTGGACCACTTATCATCGTCTTACCTAACAATACGCTCGTGTGTCGTTTCTGGATAACGTTGTTGTCAATGTACTCGGTGACTAGAGGCGTTCTGGGAGCTTTCACCGCACCCTGGACCAACAAGCACACAGCGAACAACGCTATTGACCAGGACTTGCTTGCCCTCCACCCACGGCCGTCATCATCACATGGTATCCTTCCACGGAGGTTTCGACCTTGACTTGTACACAGGTGGAACTGTTCCGAACTGATGTTCCTCAGCTCTGACGTCCTAGGCAAAACTGCAGGATTAAGGAAATGGGGAATACTGCATAGGAAGCTTGCACAACCGTACACAATAGTGCATACACCAAGGACACGTGGAATATGACTGGTACGGAGGACGTGACTGCTAAACAGTATGGTTGTCAAGAAGCCGATGTCGTTACAGCTCATAATGACTCCGCTGGTGGTGCTGTCGATGTTCAACACCTTCTCAATGGTTGGAACCTGGGATGCTATGTATACAGTAACGGTCTGTAAGCAAAGGGAAGCAGCGCCTGCAAAGAAGGTGAATGAGCCAAGTCCCGTTATTCTGCGGCGCCAATTTGGCGTCTCCTGCGTAATAGGCAAATTTACGTTAAGTCCAATCGGGTCTTCTTTGTTATCGGCATTAACAACAGATAACAACGACAATGATGTCCCGACAACTTCTGTCGACATGGCTGAGATGCGCGATATACAGCTGAATGTGTGTTCGTATCAACTGAGTCAACTTTATAACATGAATCTGCGACCCGCTGGCGATATCTACTGAATCTGCGACTCTCCGGATCTAGGCACTGAATCTGCGACTCTCCGGATCTATGCACTGAATCTGCGAATTTCCGGATCTGCGACTCTCCGGATCTATGCACTGAATCTGCAACTCTCCGGATCTATGCACTGAATCTGCGACTCTCCGGATCTATGCACTGAATCTGCGACTCTCCGGATCTATGCACTGAATCTGCTACTCTATGCAATCTACTCGACCGGGCAATATGTAAACAACCAGTAGTTTTTGTTATCCAATAAACAGTTCTGATGAAATTTCCAATTGTTCTCTTGTTAATATTGTTATGTTATAGCCAGCTATATGCATTGTATTAATATTGGATTATTGTAAATAACGCATTGTACGTACATATTAAACATTTTTTAATTAATATGAACACATTTAAGTAAATATTTCTTTTATGAACACTGTCCTGAAGCCTTTCGTTGTTAATTATATTTGGTGATTATTATTTCAGATCAGGTTACATAAACACATGAGCTTAAATTAAACCTGAATCCAATAGCAATGTTTTTACAATTATGGTCCAAACAGGGTATCCTGTAATACTGGAATGCATCAAAATAGTCACCAAAATGTAAAGCACGTACTTCACACACTATCTCAAAAGCTATGGCTCTTCTGTTTACGAGGGTGAGTCACAGACTGCATTATACGACTGACAACTGTGTAGTGGACAGTTCCCGACCAATTGCTTTAAAGGACATACCGGGGTTATGCATGACAAACATTTGCCATCTCAGGGCATCTGATAATCTTCTTCGTACCAAATAGCAGAAAAATGATTAAATTAAATGCCGACGTCTGGCACATGCACAAACTGCTTCTGGGCATGCTCCACAGTGTGTGTTTGGGAGACACGTTCCACTTTACACTTGCAATAGTTTCCTTAATGAACATCATTATCATACGTACAGTCTTACACAAGCTGAACTTGAACATAGTTATGTTGCTCGGCAACCTATTAAGGGCTGCTTCACGTCTTCCCAGGTCATTAAAAAACTCTTTCACACTGGCCTCTCCTCTGAAAAAATCTCAATGTCATCCATGTGAAAGAGTTGAGTAATGTGCTTGGGGATATGTGCTGTGGAGGGCAAGGATGTTAATCCTCCTCTTTATTGAGCAGAAAACTCAACTTAAAGGCAAACAAAAAAACAATTTTTTGATTAATATTATCATGGTTGACAGATAAAATAAATCAAATGCAGCAGAGAGGGGTCGGGTTGTCCTGGCAAAGTCAGGCTGATAAGGCTCGCCATCAGCTCATAAACCCTTGACACGCTGCTAGGTCGAACCCACCAAGATCTTTCCGGAGAATATGCATTCGTGACCAACTCGTGTTATTCCTGGACAAGCCGAATAGCGACTGGTGGCCCTATATGGAAAGATTTCATATTGGCGTAGGAACATCAGAGCTACTTCAAACAGGAACGATAACTCTATTCCTGTTTGATTGCAATGGTACTTAATATGGCCGAAGTACTCAAACATTGTATTGCTGTTTTTGTTTTTGCTTATTTATTTTAAAGAATTGAACCTCCTTGATACATCTAAGGAAAGAGAAAAACATATTTGTAAAAGACATCTTCTTTTTCCAATTATAATTCTGAAAAGGGTTTAATAATTACGAATAGGGATTTGTTTATTGAATATGCAAATACCATTTATTAAGAAAACCCAGCTATATTAAATCCCAAAGCAGAAACTCAATAATGACTTTAAAATATTTCTTCAACTGAACATACGTGTAACCTTGCTGTCATACCCCAAGTGGAATTTTAAATGAATTCGCTGAAAAATATATGAATGACCAAAATAGGTCAGACTAAAATATTCACAGAGATGTGAAATATATGCCCAAGGTTAAAGAGTAAAGTTGATTAGATACACCCAGATATCATATTATTGTTTTGAAACTCGTAGCGATTTATAACTACATTTCCTAGAACTGTTGGAAGCGCACGTACAATCACCACAGCAAGCCCGCAAGATCGTCAGAAATACACTCAGTTGGACCCTTGAGAGCCGTTATGTCAACAAACGCACGTTCGTGTATTTGAATCTCTCACTGTCAATCACGTTTCTTGTCAAAAACTTCACATTAGACAGCACACTTCAGTTAGCTACGTTCTTAGTACTTTCAATATGACGATATATATTTTTCATGATTTTTTAAACAATAACATAATGCGATAAACGATTTAAGTAGTCGGGGTTATTTTTATCAAAGCACCGCAACCGTTACGCGCGTTGTGATTGGTTTGTCGTATCTTCGCACATAACAAGCATCGATAGGGGGACGAGTCTCCTTGGAGGTTACGGAAAAGGGCGAGTGGTGACGAATGGAGAATATGGAGACTCCTTAACACTACGGCCAGAAGTGTCAGAAGGGCTGTGCTCCAGGTGAAGACCCCGGGCACTCTCCTGATCGGCGCCAAGAGGCTACAAAGTGGCATAGTTTTGGTATAATCAACTGTGTCAAGCTCACACAACAGCACGACTTGCGTGGTGTAATTGCATCATGGCGGTGGGTTCACTTTTCCGATGAGAGTCATTTCTTATTGCAGATGGTGAATGGTCGTACACGTGTCTGGAAACAAAGGAACACAACTATGGTTCCCTGCAACATCCAGAAGACGCTTCCTTCTGGGGACGGTCAATCATAGTATGGGGATGCATTTCCCTGGGTTTGCAAGATGGACTTCTTTACCATTCGTGGTAACGTTAATGGACCTTGGTATCAACAGGAGATTTTCTAGCCAGAAGACCCATCTTATGATGACAAACAAAGGCCTCAAAGAGCACGCGCTGTCACCCAGGTCTTGCAACAGAATACCATTGAGACCATCCCTTGATCAGCCATCAGTCCAGATCTCAATCCCATTGAGCATCTGTGGGACATTTTAGGCCGTCATGTTCGACAGAGAGACCCACCTGCCCAGACTTCCTCAGAATCAAATTAGGCAATTGATCCAAGGCGTATTGAATCAGTTGTTCGTGTACAAGGTGGTTACACAATATACTCATCGAAAGTCAGTATTTGAACTTGCAAGACATTATTCTCAAATTCAGTGAACAAGATGTGTGCATGGTACTGAAGTTAAGTCTGTGAAAGAAAACTGAACTACGTGATGTTTTCGCATTAAATGACATCATTTCCAAATCTGTTCCTGCTTCAAATATACCAGATTATGTCATAGTAATCATGGTTATGTTTCTACTCAACCCTTTTCGTGTTACTACAAAATTCATATGGTATTGAAATCTTTATTAAACTATTAAACTGACACAGTTTATGCATCAGTTAATTAAAATTGATCAGTCTGACCTTAATGAATGTCCATATGTATATTATAAATATACCTTACGAATACTGTTTACTGGGTAATAAATTAAAGTGATGTTTTAAGCTCCGTCGTCACCTCTTACTCGTGTATTATGCAAGCACAACAATCTACTAGTAAGCAGGAAGTAGGTTCATTGCTTAATGGGATTTATCTTATAGTGTTTGTCGTGTGGCAAGTTTATTCAACCTGGACCAGTGTAGCAAGTATACTACATTCTTACTGTTGACATTCCATGGGCGGATCCAAGTTGTATGTCTGTGTATTTCAGGAATCTCCCCCTTCGCTAAACACCCCCACCCCCCTAAACTTCCTGGATCCGTCTTTACATTCAGTATACAATTCAGACAATGCTGCGCTATATTCATCCTCGATAATCTCCAAATCTCCAGGGTAAACGTTCCGAGAAATCTCAACCAAACCCTGGATGCATTTACGGCTCGAGCCGATGATTTTATTACCTCCTTTGGTTGGCATTTTATCCAACCAATCACAACTCACTTTCACTTTTTAAATTACCTAACCGATTAAACTTGGCAACACAATAATATATTGTTGCAGAGGTACTCTAAAAGAGGTAGAAGGCGTTCTTGCATATATTTTTTAAAGATTTCAGACCAGTCGATATGTCTGTATGCAGCCCCAGCAACACACAGCAAATCGAGGATGCGCTATATTTCGACTTGTGTTATATTTAGACTGAAAACTCTGGAAGGCAATACAAAGTATCACTATACAATGGAACGTTCCATGATAATCTAGAACTTAGAATTATACGGATAGTTCCAGAACAGTTACACAACATGTTAGGGACGTGCCTTTGCCCCGGTCATCAACACATTACATTGCATTGCATCATGTTACAAGAAGACAACAGTTGTGTGAAGATCACTTTCCGCCTTAGACACCAAGCCTAGGCAACGAGGTTAATATCATCAACATTGACAGTATTGCTTTTACACCGTTTTGATATTGTATTACCATTGTATATATTTCTACTGCCATTGTTATTACTAAACAATGGTATGTGATTTGTATTGATTTGTAAACTTAGTTAATATTGGAGTACAAATGAAAATATATTACATTTCTTTGTTGCTTCATTAACTGACTGATTGTCGATTTACTAATTGTTTCAAAACTGTGATAAACTAAATTTAGGTCGTTTTCCCTGAAGATGAACTTTTATGTTTGAGTCACGGGTTATTAATTTTTGTTTGAAGTCTTTGTTCTGTGACAAAGGTTGGACCATTTATGGCACAAGGGTAATTTCTGTTTCATGGTACTTCAAGAATATATGGAAAAATAAGCATTTTTCTATGTTTCCACACAGGAAGATGTCACATTGATTTTCTCGCTAATTTGAAGAAAGATTTATACAACATGTTTAGCTCAGCATCTGATGAAGGCCTCGTAAGGTGTCTTTCATATGTATCTGACGGGTCCCACCGGTGAAACACTATTCGACAGAGGTTATGGCGTTCTCCGTATCGTACAACGGACTTAGTTATAGTATTATTCTGGACATTGTTTGTCATTGCTTCTATTTCTCAAAGACTCTAATAAGCAAGCTTTATCATTATTTGAGACACCCTCTGCTGGGATCCTATCAATACGATTATCATGAATACACATCTCCTGTAGTGTAGTGGTCACGTATATATTAATATTTCGGTTTATTACTTACAAACATTTCAACTAAAGGCACGGTGTCACTAACAAATCGAACCCGGCAACAGATGGGATTATTCAGCAAAATTGCAATCTAGTCGGAGAACACGATGCATCCAATTATTAATCAATGCATATTCCGATGTTATGACTATAACAGAAAACAGACATTAATGGAAACAGGGATTCAGTAGGAAATAATTCTGTTCAAAGTTTATCACAGTGTTGTCACCTGAAATACAGCAATAGTTGGGAGTTGGTGTGTAGGTGGATATGGATACTGACACTCAGACAGAGTTATGTGCTCAGATGCTAGGAACCGAACGGTCCTTCAAATACATAGGATAAGAAGTATCGAGTACGACGTCTATTGGTATAACGTGAACCACCGACCTTCCTAGCCGATACACCATCCTCTTGACCACGGCCCCAGACGGAGGAGAAGTTGTCATTTAATACTATCTGTTGCAAATATAGACCCTATTGATCCCACTATATTTGAAACACTATGAATTGGTTTTCACCGTATGCTGAAATACATCACACTGAAACGTTCTGAATGATATGATCTCATCCTGAAACCTTGCTAATTGTTCTTAACTGAAACCACTTGGGCGTGCTATATTTCAGATGTAGCTGCCTCTGGCGCGAGTTTCTTTGACTTTTCTGGTTTATTATTCCTCCACTTCAGAAGGAACAGTGCCATGACACTCAACACAGCAGTCACTGCGTTGCCACATACATTCATTCCTGTAATCTTCAATCGTAGATCCACAAGGTCGTACAGTGCACATGATCCCCGTGCGCCACATGCGTAGTTCCAGACAATACAGGTGGTGTCGATAATCTTCCCATACACAATAGGAACTGGAAGGTATACTGAAACCGAAACCATAGACACGTGTGACACACTTGTCTGTTAACAACACGCTCATATGGTGAATTTACTAGGGCTGTGCAATATTACCGGTAAACCGGTATATACCGGTACAGTATCTCGCGATACGATTATCGCGATATGGTTCAGATTCTGCAATTTATTGGGTCATCCAGAGTTAGCTCCCTTTGAATTATCTGCCCTTGCCCTCCACGGCAACAAAATGTGCTCTAAAAGTGCCGGATATACTTTATTTCAGTTGGTTTCATGTAACATTTCACAAGTTGTCGTGTCTTTATAAGTTGCTCAAAAGTGCCAAATATTCTACCAAATGCTTTAAGTTTTGTGGGTTTGAATGGTTTAATATGTGACGTTTTGGAGGAATTAAGTGACCTCAAACGCACCAGTCTTTTGAGAGAAGCACGAGTTATGAATGGCAACTTCTTGTTGTGAAGGATCAAGCATACACTCCAAAACGTCGTGTTATTCACAATAAAGAAGTTGACATCCATAAATCTTGATTTTCCACTTCTAAATGCAAATGACAAATCTTTATTTGGACCTATTAGTATGGCCTCTGGCTCTGAGAGACCATTTCACATCATTTTGTTATTTTTGTTTGTTTCATAATGGGACTTACATGTATGTTATCAGGCCAAAGTCTTAAACATTTTGTAGAACTGTATAATGACATTCTAGTCAAGGATCTTAGTTACTGGAGGTCACATGAGAGTTAATTAAGCTCAAGTAGTTCACCTAAATCATGTTTTTTGTTTCATTTTGCAACAGTTCATGTTAACACATGCTTATGTTGGAGTTGAATCTGAATGAATCACTGACATACAGTAACAATAACTACATACTGCATTGAAGTGCACACTGACCATGAAAATCATGTTATACTATTACCTGTATCGTTATGTTTGCAAAACTTTGTTGCAATACAGTACTTCAGTTAAACATTCTACACTAAGGCTCTATATTACTTTATTTATCTGTAAACCATTGACGTAAAGCCATACACAATGGGGACGGGAAGTCTGAACATATGGTGTAACAGCAACTAAGAAGATGATGTCGCACACAGAGAGCTATTATGAATTTATGATGTTCGCACTTGGACAGAAAGATTCCAGTCAATATATCACAATATTATTGCAATATCTCTTAAATTATTGCAATCGCGATATGAGAATCAGGGCAATATCCAGCCCTAGAATTTACAAACATTTGATGCATCGCGTATATATTTTGGATTATTTTCGAAAACATTTGGCTTTTCAGACTAAAATAGTGCTTGAAGTGCGACACGAAAACGTCTTGCTACATGCGCTGCAGCTTGAATTCGCGATCAGCGTAGGGCTGTAGGCGTCATGCACATAACTATATTACCTCTCTGTACCAAAGCACGTGTTTTGCAATATTTGCAATATAACCCTTTATACTCCTTGTAAAGAGCAGCCTGCACTGGCTTTATTGTGGGAGATCGATAGATGATATACCCTTACATATTCACATGAGTCAAAATGCGAAATCTATCTACATCATCCCATGCTATAGATAAAATTGTATGTTTTCCTGAACAAAAAGGTTATGTAGGACATTACTAAAGACAGCTAAATTCATTTGATAACAATTTATACAAATAAATGTTTTAATGGATTGATGAAGACGGAACCGTCTGATTTTACTTGACCGAAGGTGTGGATTTCTCTGGACTGCGTGAAACTGTTTGGAAGGGCCTAAGGGGATTCCCCTTGTGTTTAGAGTGGCTTCTCAGTTAAGCCACACGTTTATCCTATACACAACATGTTTGTTGGGTTTTTCTAATTAAAGGTCATGATGTAAATACATGCAAGGACAACATGACGTTACAGTTGGACTAATCTCTGAAACACTTTTCTTACGATATTGAATTGAACCAATTTGTTTTCATGATAATCAGCCTCATTAGAAAGAGTTAGTGAGTGAGTTTGGTTTTACGCCGCTTTTGCAATATTCCAGCAATATCCTGGCGGGGGACACAAGAAATGGGCTCACACATTGTACCTATGTGGGGAATCGAACGTGACGAGCGAACGCTTTAACCACTAGGCTACCCCACCGACCCCTCATTAGAAAGTTAACATGAGACTTCTTAAGCGTAACAACACATTTTAATAAATCAAGTCTCAATACAAGAGACATGCGATCGTGGACCATGTTCTTTCGCGTACGTTTGTATGGTCACTGACATTTGGACACTTTGGACAATTTTATTATCCACAGTAATACATAAACCCTCTCCTCATCGATTAATGCATTGTTGTGGAAATGTCTTAACGAACATCATACGGAAGTCAATGTAAAGCAACGTGGTGGATTTGGGGGTTGGTCTAGGTCAGAATCCGTACAAATACGTACCCAGAACAGACACAGAACAACTGTAAAGTCCCACTGCCATTGCCTTGTCTTTCTCCGCTACACTTCTGTTTTGAAATACAAAGCATTATTAGAGAAGTTTATAACTACTTCACTGCTTTTACCGAGAGCTTTAAAAGCTTTGACATGTACCTGTACTTTCAGTCTGAGTATATAGCACCATCACTGACCTTAATTATACACATCGTCTTAAAATATAAGTATAACAAAACGTGTCTGAACACATAACGGTACGACAGGAACTGTACATATCATGCAACTAAATATCACAGTGGCATCAAAGATGACAAAACAAATGCATGCTGGCAACGTTTCATTGACGTGTAAATGGACAAATGACAACAAGCGTGTCAATGTGTTTGTTTGTTGTTTACCGCCGCACATTTGGCAATATTCCAGCTACATGGTGGCGGTATGAAATAATCGTGTCTGGACCAGACAATCCAGTGATCAACATCATGACCATTGGTCGGCGCAATTGTGTATCACTAAATACCATTGAAAGACTTATCTGAATCAATGCTCAGAGATTTAGCAAAGGACACTAATTTCGCACTCGGCAATATTCCAGCTATATGGCGGCGGTATGAAATAATCGAGTCTGGACCAGACAATCCAGTGATCAACATCATGAGCATTGGTCGGCGCAGTTGGGATACGATGACACGTGTCATCTAAGTCAACGAGTCTGACCACCCGATCCCGTTAGTCGATCCGTTACACTTTGGCCCTTGAACCTTTCATGACGTGACAAAAATATAGTACCGGACGGAGAATGAAATAGCCTGAAGTTGTGTTGACACCACTAAAGTCAATACAAGCATATTGACACGTATGTGGTCAATATTGCTTTTTGGCTATAGAAATCATGTGTTTTGTTGTTGTTTCAAAGCCGCACACCAGCTATATGACGGCGGTCTGTAAAGCCATTGCCTGATATCACGGGCAATGACATTTATCGTGGAGATATTGAGGGCACGATATCAACCTTATTCATCAATATAATCTGACTACCGTATCCATTATGTTGTCTCATTGAGAATATTACGTACGTATAGGTATAAATACGTATATTTTGCACTACAACTCCAGTGTCTTAAATGTTGTGACCCTACTGTATGAGTGAGTGAGTAAGTTTACATCGCATCGGCAATATTGCCACCATATAGCGATGAGAACAATTTGAGTAATATTAAAAGTCTGTCTGCAAGGACAGTAAAATAGAATGTTCAACACCACAGCCTAGGTATAAAACAAACCAACTTTTAATAAAAACATTTTTTGCTCAGACTGTTATTTAGTATGACTTAAAACTAGGCTATAGACCACTCCCTACCGTATGAGAACAAGATAGCCGGGGACGATAGCAATACTTCCACTCAAAGCGAAAAGAGCCGTGGCCGCAACGTAGGGGTAGAGGTAGGGACACCCAGTGTCACAGAAGCTTGGGCTTACAGAACCGCCTCCAGCAGACAAACAGCCTCCGTAAGTCTGAAACAAGTTGCTTATATCTGAATATTTATTAACAGAGATTATTTATGCCAAACAATTAATATAACCTAAACGTTATTAATTTATGGAATGTAACTTGCAGAAACATGATCACAATCTAATGTTGTTCGCTCACACAATCACGAATTTGTTAGGGTTTAAGGTCGCGAACTAACGCGATTTCCATGAACGAATCGGGTGAAGGCGGCATGTAAAAGATACTGTACGTTTCCGCAATCTTAGGCCAACCAGAAATGACTTCCATTTCAACCAATGCCTCCCAGGTGTTTACCTGAGGTTCCAGCCTATTTGATACGACTCGATGGCTAACTATTGTACGCTTGTTTGTTGTTTAACTCCTCATTCAGCAACATTCCACTAATATTATTGACGGCATGTAAATCATCATTCCTGAGCCCGACACATAGTGAGTGAACAATACCCACTCTGTGATTGAATCCTAATTAACATTGACTCATCTGAATAGAATAACGAACGAAACGATTAATCTACTGCATTGAGGCTGTTCAATGATATAGGCATATAAATGTCACTTTCCACGGGTCTCAAAAACACAAACGCTGGATGAAATAAAAGTGGAAAATTAGCACATCCGTATTAGAACATGTGCTTCATAAACAGGTCGTTATAGAATTAAATGTTAGGATAAGAGGACATTTTGCCCAACAGGATAAGAATGATTAGGGAAAAATGGAAATTATTTTATTTTTTGCAATCACTGTGAAAAGAGTGAGTGAGTTTAGTTTTACGCCGCACTGAGCAATATTCCAGCTATATGGCGGCTGTCCCGATCCCGTTAGTCGCCTCTTACGACAAGAAAAGTCGCCTTTTGTGGCAAGCATGGGTTGCTGAAGACCCGGATCCTCACGGGACACTGTGAAAAGATATAAGATGTGTTTACATGGAAGTAGTTCACTCACCCGATCTATCTCAGTGGGGCAAAATGGATCATATCCTACCTCGACCTTTAAAAGAAACTTTAATAGCTCTTACAGTGTCAGTCTGGTTGTGACATCCCGCGTGACATGGCGAGAAGAACGTGACGTTACCTTTGCAGACCGGAAGAAAGGGGACGTTGAGACAGTCACATGTACTCGGACCCTCATCAAGCACAACCCTCTCTCTGAAGATGTGACAATATCAAACAGTTAATTAAAATGTCCATGGATACAGAACTTTTCTGACAGTGTAATTGTCTAACTATGAAATATCATTTTGACCCGTGAAGATACAGATTAGAATTGATCTTCAGTTACCCATGCTTGTCGTAAGAGGCTACTAACGGGATCGGGTGGTCAGGCTTGCTAACTTGGTTGACACATGTCATCGTGTCCCAATTACGCAGATCGATGTTCATGCCGTTGATAAAGACTCGATTATATACAGACCGCCGCCATATAATTTAATATTGCTGAATGCGGCGTAAAGCTAAATTGACGCACTCACTTACTCACTCAATATCATTTTGCAGACTCACTGGTTTCTCTGTAGCCCGCGTATAGTTTGGTTGTCACACCAAAATTGGAAGTTGAGGCACTGAGCAAGAGTAGCCAGAACGTACGTCCCGATCATTACTTTGAGACAACCACTTCTTTCTAACTTGAAACGCGTTGCAATGACACCTCCTAGAAACGTGCCCAGAATTGTTGTTATCACCACGATGACACCTAAACGATGCAAAAACGATATATACAGAAATGTAATAAAGCTATTTGTGTATTAACAGAAGATGTTATAATACTTTATGTAGCTTTTAAGAGTTAAGGATGTAATTAAGTAGAACATATCAAGGACGTTCTGATTTGCCGGTTGGGAATACAATTAAAATATGGCTATACACGGGAAAAGAACATACTCAAACGTATTCAATGATCTACTGATGGAGGAGACATGTGAAAAGTTATTGCCTTTGACTGAGATTCCTGTGGCATAATAACTGCCTCATGGAGTACATACTAAGACCATGTGACTCGCAGATGGTGAACAGGTTTGAACGCGATCATTCGATGGTGGGCATGTCTAACAAGTTAGCTATGAGAAAAAGATGAAGAACGGACATGGGAGCTGATGAATGGTTGACGTGGACCCCTCCTGGGGGATAATGAAAAAGAAGAGAAGACAAAAGGGTGATAATTCACTGAACAGACCTAAAAACAGGTTGGACTTCCATGCAGGGATGTTGAAGATTGTTTCCAGGTACTTGGCCCCAAATGAAATTAGCCCCACCGCAGCGATCGTTCCAGTAACCATGGCGAGGTTGTTCACAGTGTAGACCGGGTTACTCACCACCCTGAACAGCGACAAAGGCAAATCTGAAAGTGAAGAGAAGTTTTAACTTGAGAATAGGTGACACACACTTAAAGGAACTCGAAATTACTTTCCACTGTTACTTCTTCATATATCATGAAACTGTTTACTGTGATGACGACAGTCTTGACTTGTCTAAACATTGCACTATAGCTAATTATAGCTAATTATGGAACAGTGAAAAAAGAAATATAACCCCTGAATGTTATATTCTGGTGTTTCCGGTTAAGGTATGTACGATATGAGTTCATGTGTTATGTTGCTCTTCAGTCCCTCCATTTTAGGTATTAAAAGTTGCACTAACCTAGTTTTAACGAAAGATGAATGGGAATCTTTGACCGTAGCGTGAAAGATATCTCCCCATTATTTTCCGATGTGTTTATGTTTGGTCAATATTTAAGAACTATAAGCAAATGTATGTCAGTCTTCTTTTTAAGCATGTCTTCCGGAGCAGTACCTTTTACTTTGTCACAAAATGTTATTACAAATTGCACACACGAAAATTTAACGAAATATGAATGGGAATCTGTGACCGTCACGTGAAAGAAATATGTAATCCGGAGCACCTTTTACTTTGCCACAAAATGTTTGCTCCTTGTCATCATCTGATGGGACAAACTGTCGGCCTTTTATTTTCTTCGGGAAGAAGAACAGTGGCACTGCAGTGACAACCGACACACCACCGAAAACTAGGAATCCAAGCCACCATGCACCAATCCATCTTGGGTCCTGTGGGGTCAGAGACGTCGCTACAAAAACAGTAAGGCAAATACACGTAACATGTCAAAATGAGGATTAAACGGCTACAATAAGTCAGGATGCAGAAAATGGATACACGTAGACAGCCCAGACAGTGAATGGCACTTATCAAGCAAAGCGCTGCCTGGTCGAACCCACCAAAAACGTTTAAGTAAATATAGAGACTGCCCAGCTCTGCAGCCTTCTGCATAACCCAGAGTTTCAGAAGAGCTGTATTCTGGGCAGCAAACCCGGCTCCTCTCCCAAGGTCAGTAAAAAGACTGGTACCAACCCAAGGGCAGCAAGAACGATGGGCAACTTGGAACATTTCGTAAGACAGATTCGCATATTTGTTTTGTTGTGTACAAATGTTGTTGTTGTTTTAAATGATGGCGACACAGTTCAGGAATAACTTTTAACTTAATACAATCCATGATATATTGAATGCGGACAATCGAAAGTAAGACTGTACTTGTTTGTCAATGTGGAAATCAATCTTACTTACGAGACAAATCAACTGGGATTTGAGAAAAGACGCCTCCAAAAGAAAACGCCAACGCTGGTCCAAACATTGTAAGACATATAAGTGCCCCTGACGAGAGATAAGATGCATATAAAGAAGTGATATGACAAATAGTTCTTCCAAACAAACCATCCAATGTACGAAAATGTGCCTCCGTGTCCAAATTACTTTCTCGGTGTGAATCTCATAACATAGTGTAAGTAGCCAGTTCTTTACCAAGGCAGATCAAACAAACATTTGAACATGGGATTAAAGTATCATCGCATTATGAACACCCAATGGTTTAATAGAATTATTTTCTATGTTTCGAGTTTCAGATATGAAACAGGAAGCTCTGTAAGCAGATCGAAAAGTGAATGAACATTGCATGAGAATATGTTACTCTGCATATTGGCGTTGTCTAGATAATCTTGTCAACATGTTCGGAAAAGAATGGCTTACATGCAGCTCATCCTATTATAAGCTCATTCCATTACCTGAAAACGCACTCACTCACTCTTACCTAAAAGCAGCCCTGTTCTTTTTCTGTCGGCCACATTATTGTCAATATACTCTGATGACAGTGGTGTCCTGGGAGATTTAGCGAAGCCTTGCACCAACATGGCAAGTACCAGGAGCCAAAAGCCTCACCGATTCTTCTCGAGGGGTCTATCAGATCCAGCCTCACACGTTTCATTCTGTCTACTCTCCCGCCCAGACTGACTACACAGATACTTCCCCCCATCGCCAGCGTAAGAAGCGTTGGTGACATCATCTGTCATGCTGCTGCCTCTTGGCAAAGCCGAGGGATCCATGAAATAAAGCAGTCCACTGAGAACTCCCGACAGGGCATAAATCATCGTACTGACACCTAGCACTCTCGGGATGTGTCTCTTTCGGATGAAGTGGCTGGTGACCAAGACTGTGGCAAGGTAGCCGATATCATTGCAACTCAGTAGGGTTCCACTCGTTGTACTGTCAATGTTGAACACCTTCTCCAGTGTAGTTATCTGAGATGACAGATAAACCGTTATTGTTTGTAGAAAAAGGGAAGCAAATCCAATTGATATCGTGAAAGATCCAACTGTCCCACATCTTTGCATACAGGAAGGGGAACATGACCCAGCGCCACAAGATGTTTCCTCTTCGTCCGAATCGCAGATGCTGCCTGTAGCCTTTTTGTCCACTGTATTGTCACAGTTTACAGACAGTTCTCTCTGTGATGCTTCTTCTATAACGTTGGATGCCATCCCTATTCCCCAACAACGACAAATGCTTTAAATTTGTTATCAATCGTTTATAGCGTTGTATTTCTCATCGGTCCTAATCTGGGGCGGTGGGGTAGCCTAGCGTGTCAGGCATATAACGATGAGAACACATATAAATAGTTAACGCTTCTTTTCTGAACTAATCATTTGTTTTCAATAAAATAACTGATACGTTACCATGATAAGTTATCTATCAACATAATGGTAACGAACCGTGATACGTTAGCTGGGCGGTGGGGTAGCCTAGTGCTTAAGGCGTTCGCTCGTCAGGCCGGAGACCCGGGTTCGATTCCCCACATGCGTTCAATGTGTGAAGCCCATTTCTGGTGTCCCCCGCCGTGATATTGCTGGAATATTGCTAAAGGCGGCGTAAAACTAAAAATCCACTCACTTCGTCAAATCTAATCTATATTTTGCGTGTAGGTGTGGAATCGTAATGTCCATTCAAGGAATGACCTTCAACCTTCACTTTGTCATGCAGACAATTTGTTCCGTACCACAAATTACCTTTACAGGGCATATGTTCTTAAGAATGACATATGTTAAAAACATATCTATCTTAATGCACGTATATACTTACTTAAATAATACCTGTCTTTGCCGTGACGTTTCTCTTCAAACCATTCAGCGACGTTTTCCTGCCATATTTATAGCGCTCGATATTACTCAGACCAAGGTCACATTTTGATAATGGAAATCTAATAACTTTTTGTGCCCAGAATGTGTATGAGCTTACACAGCGTATACAATAGATACATCAACATCTATTACCCACCCTTGAGTTCAGGTATTCACAAATTGAAGTTTTAAAGTGTGAAATATAGAGTGTAATGAAATAGGACCCAATAACCAGTGGTCGCCAGATCTAGTATAAATTAGGTAAAATACATTGAATACCATTAATTAGAAAGTATAATTTAATGTCTTCCTGCATATTCTAAATCACCACATGTTACTATCTACGGTAACAAAAAACAGCATTGACAGTTTCTTTCAACTGCCTTTCTAATAATCACCATGAAATTATTCCAACAGAAAATCAATTTGCCCGCTGTATAGAAATGTTTTGCGTTATCAGCGAATACAACTAGGATTGTAATATAACGCCTGCTTTAGGATACGCGTACATGTTATGTTTGTTCCATTGTTGTTTACAGCCGCTCTCAACAATCTTCCACCTATATGGCGGCGGTTGACATTCGTCAGCATACTTGACCAGGCAATGTGGTTGGTCGCCTCTTACGACGAGTATTGGTAAAATTCCGTTGCTGAAGACTTCCAGATAACAATTCTAACCCGGATCTTCACGGGTCTACATTTTATTCAGCAACAATATGGAAGACGCCCGAATTGATGGCAACATACATGTAGGGACACAAAAATATAATTTAATGACGATTCTTTATAGTATGGTCATTCAGAAAGGAGAGATGTAATTAGGAGATAAACATCATGTGTTGGCTAACGACGTCGGTTCCAAATGAATTCCCGTGCTTCAAATACTCAATAACACCCGGAAATTGACCATGGTAGCATCTTGAACTGCTCATTTGTGACGCCTTTCCGATTTGACGTCACAATATGATTTGAATGACGTCACCACTGCTGACGACGCAACAATACAATTGTGTGCGATATTTGTACGTGTCAATACGCAGTGAATAGTCTTGCAATTTCCGGGAATCGAATACCATTCGATCACGTTCAAACAGGCAGATTAAAGAACACGATGACTTTTAGTTTACAATTGTTACCAAGTTCCTGTTGTATTTAATGTAAACAATTATTTAGGAGTGTCATCGTTTATAAAAAAAACCTTGAAATTTAATGCGCAAACAATTGAAGAAGGAACACATTCCAATTTGACAGCATCTTCGCAGAGAGAGACCTTTATTTTAATTGTGAATCTCTCGCGGTAGTAAAATAGGAGACAAACATACTTTGTTCTTCAATGCAGAGCTAGGTTACCTAGCGTATCAACTGGAAACTAGACAAGCAATCCATGATCGTTCATGTCATTATTTTTGTTCTTTTAATCACCTTAATAACCATTTGTCCATAACCATTAAACTGAAGCTAGAATAGTCATGAATCTTGGTCATGGGTTAGTTTTTCCACCGTATTCAGCTATTTTTCTATAATGATTCAGAAGGCGTTATAAGATGACCAAAAAAGACGTCACCATTTTCTTTGTATATGTAAAAACAATACGCACGATAGATATTGGCAGTGATATTTTTTTTATAATGCCAATGTAAGGCAAATATTAACGAAATCATAATCGCAAATTAAACCATGTCTAGCACTATTAATGTACGTATATATGAAAAGTTGAGGAATTCAGCATGACAGACCAGGTCTCAAGGCCATCTAACTTAAGACACAACAAACATACGACCGCCTCCGTGGTGTAGTGGTTAGAGCGTCCGCCCGGAGAGCGGAAGGTTGCTGGTTCGATCCCCGACCGCGTCATACCAAAAGACGTTAAAATATGGTACTTGTTGGTCCCTGTCTGGCGCTCGGCATTAATGGGTACAACAAGGACTGGTCGGCAATGTCAGTACAATGTGTCTGAGTGGGGTATTCATGCTTCACTGCGGCATGGTATCTCAGTGGGCTAGCACTATAAAACCAGCTTAAGTCTGGGCTAGTGCAAGCAGCCGCACATACACATACACACGCATGCACGTCGTCATATGAGCGAAATATTCTCAAGCACGACGTTAAACCCAATTTCACCTCACCTCAAAACAAGCATACAGTGAACATCCCTTTGTGAGTTCGCTGTGATCGATCAGTTTATGTACATGACCAGTATGGTGAAGTAATAGCGACTATTTTCGACATCGGGTTTTCGTCACGACGTGATATAACTGACGTACAAAATTACGTACCGTTAAAAGTGCATTATTTCTGTTAGTATGATATCTTATATTATCAGTGTTGACATGAATAGACTTCAGATGCAAGACAAGACAAGACAAGATTTTATTAGGTCAAAGACCAATACAATATATATATATATTGAATATTTGCCTGTGCACATGGCGATGTACGTATATAAAGAGAGCAATCACATTGTTATTATCATTATAGCCCAAGAGTGAGGATATGTATGGACGATTTACAAAAATTCAACTTTGTTTCTTTCATTTAAGATATGATAAATACACTTTGCAGCTTTCAGTACTTCAAAACTGTTTTCACCTTTTAACAATTTGATAAACTTAAACATACTTATATTTTCCAATAAAGTATTACTTAAATGCTGTTTACGTATTTCTCGATATTTTGGACAAATCAAGAGTACGTGGTACTCATCTTCTATTTCGTTAGTACAAAAGGGACATAATCTATTGGCAAATGGGATTTTAGGCACACTCCATCTTCCTTTTCAATCATAAGCATATGTGAACTAAGTCGGAAACGTGTAAACGCAATTCGGTACTTCCTAACATCAATATTAGTTAAATATTTCTCGATGCACAGAGTTTCCTTAATATGAAGATACAATCTAGTTTCACTTAAAGTTGATAATTGATGTTTCCACATTTGAGAATAAATGTCCTTAACCCTTTGCGTAAATTCTCTCACAAAATCACAACTTTCAGGAACATATTGGGCAACCCAAATATAGCCAAAACCAAACCTGAAGAGCGTATCTCTCAGTAAACTTGCCCAGTTTTCAACATCAGGGTTCTCATTTGAACTATTCAATAATGAATTATACATCAAAACTATATATCTATCTGGTTTACTTCTCAAAATCTTAAGCCAATATTTGATAATCCTGACAAGACGAATAACTTTCAAAGGAATGTACCCAATTCTCCATATAAGAAAGTTGATGGAGTTGACATTTTGACATATAATATGTGTTTCATAAATTTCAAGTGTACCTTTTCAATAGCATTAGCTTCCATAAAGCCCCAAACCTCGCAACCATATGAGAGAATAGGAGAAACAACTGATTGGAATAACTGATACTGAATATCTGGAGTAATGTACGCATTATCATTGAATATATTGTACAATGAACCAAGTGCCTTCAAACCTTGTTCTGATAAGATTTTCTGAGCTTGTGAAAACTGCCACCTGTTGAAAATATTAAACCTAGATATTTAAAATTATTGATTACCTCAAGAGGTGAACCATTATAGGACCATTTTTCAGCCTTGCCTTGTCTACCCCTTTACGAAAAATAACAACCTTAGTTTTTCGGTATTTATGGTCAAGCCCCATTTCGTGCAGTAAGTAAACATCCTATCCAAACCGTCTTGTAAACCTTTAACACTATTGCTAAAGAGCACCATATCATCAGCAAATATCAACAGAAGTAAACGTACATAAGAAATAACAACTCCCAAGTCATCAATAGAAGAAAGTTCTTCTACTATATCATTAATAAATAATGAAAACAAAATCGGCGACAGATTTTCTCCTTGCCTGACACCAATAGACGACATGAAAAAAGTTTGAATGAATATTACTGGACAGCCTCACACAAGACTTAACCCCCTCATACATACTTCGAACTAGAGTTAGAAGTTTTGAACTTATCCCAAGCTTATATAATTTACACCAAAGTGCATGTCTATTTACATAGTCAAATGCTTTTCGATAGTCAATGAATGCACAATATAATTTAACTTTATTTTTAATTGCAATATTAATTAATCCATGTAGAACAAATATACAGTCAACAGTGCTGTAATTTTCTCGGAAACCGGCCTGTTCTTCAATAATTACACTATATTTTTCACACCAAGAAGAAATCCTCAAGTTCAAAATACGAGTAAATAACTTGCTGAAACATGACAGTAATGTGACGCCTCTATAATTATCCGGTATTACCTTGCTACCCTTCTTATGTATAGGAACGATAACTCCTTCAGTCCATCCTGATGGGAAATACCCTGTTCTAAAAATAGCATTGAACAATTTCGTCATTACGGGAATCAATATTGATGAGCCATGAAC